GGTCTTCGACGTGGCAATGCCATTCCCAAATAACCCAGATCTACAAGAAGTTGGATTGTATTATATGACAATAGTCTTCTAAGTGTCAAAGAGCAGTATTCAAGAGGAAAGAGTCAAATATATAAAATTTACACCCCCTTATGCGTATATTTGGAGGAATATAAACACGTTTGTTTATGTGTCAGACAGAATTTAACAGTAAACAACATTTGTCAACTATTTATATAGTTTTAAAACCATACACATTGCCTAAATTTATGATTAAATATATGCAGCGATTCAATTAAAACTACGACTGGAAATGGACACAGATAAGGATGAAGATCCGGATGACCTTGACAAAGACATCGACGAGGTAGAAAGTGACATCGATGATGACGGTGATGACTCCAGGTCTATGTCTTCTACATCTCCATGGACTGACTCTGACGTCTGATGTGCAGGTGATATATGGGACGAAGCGGAAAATCCAGTCAGACAAACCAACGTCAGTTACCGTCCAACTTCGGAGAAGCACTTTATAATCTAAAATAGTTCCAATCCAAATACTGCAATACATGTATTACAAACCATGTTTCATTTTGTGTGTATGTCAGTTGGTGGGAGTTCATATTATGTTAATAAGATCAGAATTATCGATATCACGTTTCCAATGATTGTAAGATTCCTTTGAAAATGAATAAGAACAGGTTATTGTTTGTGGATGTGAGAATCCACTATTTGGACTACACAGAGAAAATGGAAATATCCATTGAAATCAGAAACAAGTGAAATCACTGAGTTTTCATTTCAGATTTGTGATCCATTAGTTCTGTGCTTAATTATTTCATTTAGTTTATAGTTCAGCTGCTATCATTAGTTCTGTTTTACTCCAACAAGACAGTAATAACTATGAGTAAACATACATGTGACAATTTGACGGAAGTGTGTATTTTATATAAACTAGAAACTGACCAATAATCAGGCATATAATTTTGTACACTGTAATCTGTATACTGCTCCCTGAAATTAGAACCTTCAGTCGGTTAATTTCATATTTATAGGAGTTGTGAATTGGTTGTGTTCAGTTATACATTCATCATCATGCTCAACAAGAAAGCCTGTGATACATATTATTTTACATTTTATTCAGGAATAAAACCCTTGACTAAAACCTGTTGATGTGTGTTACATTTACATAAATAATACATTTTGAAGACGCAAAACCGATGACATATCCCTGGCGAGGTATGGGTGAATATTGCAGCTTCAGCGAACCTCCTTGCTTGAGCCCTTGTTGGTGCTTCAATGACTGAGAGTTGTTGTACACCGCAGTCATCAATAGTCCAGTTAGATCACAGTGTCACTTCCCAATCGTGTCTGGACCAGTGGCCATGATGAGTGTGCCACGTGTTATAGTTTAGCAGTGATAGTTACTTGAAGCAGATGAATTAATGGAACCATTGAAATCAACTATATTGATTTTGCACAATATATATCTCAATAAATCTTAATAATGCTTATGCGATACACCCAAAGCCAAGCTTCGTACCATTTCAAAAATTTGACTATGATGTAACTATGTCACCTCTTTCAAAACTGTTTTGCATTACATGCTATATTGTCACGTTAAGAGAATTGGTCAGGCATAATCCGTACAACTCGGTAAGCTCCGTAACATATTAGGAATTGATTCATCTCTTCTAGGCTTTCAATTTTTAAAAATAAGTTGTTTCTCATTCTAAATTCCCTTTGGCCAAGTCAGACTGTACAATATTTTGTTTGCATGAAAAGTGCTGTCGCCGTCTACATAGTCAGTATTGCCCCTATAGTGTGAACGCGCCAGGCGTGAACAGCAGGCGCGCTTTGTTCACCACTTCATGGATCAGTGATATATTTATTCTCTTCACTCAGCGATATACCTTATTTCCGTGTCAGAGTGGGCACGCCAAAAACCTATGACTTAGGGTTCGAATCCCGGTTCTCCTTGATTATGTTTCTAGGTATGTCAGCACCATGCCCGTGCTCGTGGGTTTCAGCGAAGTGGTAAACGTCTGAGACCTGCAGCACTTCGGGCTTTCCTCCCACATTAAGCTGACACGCCGCGATACAACTGGAATACTGATAAAAGCGGCGTTAAACCCAACTCACTCACTCCTTGTCAGAGGTTCAGTCATATTAATGGTACTAACATGCATTACTGGACTCAAGGACTATCTTGGAGGGAATTATAATGTTATATTCCTTTCAAGCACAATTTTGCACGACCCGTCAACATTTGAATCACCCCAGTTTATTTTCAATAAAAAACAGTTATGTGTTAGTTATTTCAGTGGCGTTAGAAATAGTAGTAAACATACTTGTAAAAATATCAAGTGTTGTCATGGCCAGATTTAATCATCAGACAACACCGAGTATACCTATTAATACCCCTTTGGAAACACCGAATTCCTCCAAGCTTCAAAAACTATTCGGATTCAAGCACTAACATTAATTATAGGGCCTGATACTTTTATCTGGTCATTAACTGATTTCACAATTTACACATGTATTTCTCTATATACCTGTTTCTGAGTAAACTTTTGCGTTTCAATTTGGAAGTCACCTCGTAACATATATCAGATGCCATATCACTTACAACTACAAGAACGTCATCATCGGGACACTTAATGTTGTCATAAATTTTAATTTGTTTGAAGTTCTAAAGTATACATGACTCCCCAAATAATACTTCTACCATTAATAAGGAAAATAGGTTTTAAATAACAATAACTGCTTCTGACTGAAACAGTTAGTTTGACACTGTGTGATCGGTTTCAAATTCAATTTAGCGCTATTATATTTACAGATAACCTATCTCATAAAAACACATCATCTTTCTCCATTAATAAATGCCTCACCTAAATATATTGTGGCATTCGTTTCATTTACGAAACGACCTGCCGAAAATGATTAAAGCTTACAAATTCTGTGAAAGTGCCATATCGTGTTTCGGCACAATATGCCAAAGCATATACTCGTAACTCGTGTCTCATAAAAAAAAAGAAGTGATTACAACAAAATGAGTGCGACACATTTCAGAGACACCTGTGCTCACGATTTGTTTGTACCGACGATATCATAAGCATGTGTCTACGAGCCACCATTCAACAGCGATGATGTTTGCGAAAAGGTGAGCGTATCCCGCTCCACCGGTGCACCCGCAACAAACACACCTTTTATTATGCATTCTTGTGGAGAGTTTTTTTTAATCTTAATGCATAGATCAGAACATGATTTAAATTGAGGCGATTTCATTTTTTTTCTTTATGGTGGTATTTCAGGGGATACATCTGTGGAAGGGAATTGGCTATTTGACCATTATTGAACGATATCAGATCATCGATATACATGAAGCTTAAGCTCGACGACATTCCCTTGTTTGGATTTTGCTAATGCGAGCAGAAATATGCATAAATTCCGGACTAGTTTGTTTGTTTGATTGTTTGTTGTTTAACGCCGCACTCAGCAATATTCCAGCTTTATGGCGGCGGTCTGTAAAATAATCGAGTATGGACCAGACAATCCAGTGATTGATATCATGAGCATCGATCCACGAACTTGGGATAAGAAGACATGCATCAACCAAGTCAGCGAACCTGACCACCCGATCCCGTTATTCGTTATACGACAAGCATAGTCACCTTTAAGGCAAGTGGTAGAGCTTCCATCAGAGAGCGGAAGGTCCGGGGTTCGATTCTCGGCCGCGTCATACCAAAAGACGTTAACAGGTGGTACTGGTCTGGCGCTTGGCATTAAGGGGCCAAAACAAGGACTGGTCGGCTCGGAGTCAGCATACTGTATCTGAGTGGGGTATTCATGTTAAACTGCGGCATGGTATCTCAGTGGGCTAGCACTAACAATCGGTATCAGTCCGGACTAGTACAAGCAGCCACACACACGTACATGCACGTCGCTATATAAGTGCAATAATCTTGGACGCGACGTTGAACCCCATTTCACCTTACCTATCTATGAGGAAGACCTGTATTTCACATATTGGTTTCTCAGTAAAAATTAGATGACAGTTTCTTTAATTTTTGAAAATGTGCCCTGAAACGTTAGTTACAAATGCACCATAGTTCATGGAATTTATTTTTGCTTACAATTGTTCTCGGGTTTTTTTCAGGTTAACAAATGACTTGCCTTTGGATACACATAGTATCATCGCTGTTTGATAGTGATTCATAAACACATGCTCATGATACAGTTCGAATCGAAAATCGGCTACACTTTTAGCAGTGTTTTATTATGAATATGGAATGTGTTTTGTAGCCGTTAATGAAATTATCATGAAATGACTTCTAGAACAAGACACTGGACATAGGTATTTCATGTCGAGAAATATAAGCTCCGGTTTTTTTAACCTGTAGTGTAACCCACTACATCTGCAATACACGTGCCTGTTCTACAGTTGTGAATGGAAGGTCTTGTTGGGGGCGCTTATAGTACCGGGAAGCATTTGGAGAGGCTTGTGTGTTTATGTCAGTTGTTGAACTGTCATCAAAGTAAACTGGTTGTAACCTTTCAGAAACTGCTATTAGTATTATTCAGTATTTCTAGAATTAATAATGAGTTTCCCTGTCCGCCACTTCCCGGTTTGAGTGAGTGAGTGAGTGAGTGAGTGAGTGAGAGTGAGAGTGAGTGAGTGAGTGAGTGAGTGAGTGAGTGAGTTTTCACAAGTGATGAATCGAAACCGGAACTTCGACATAACGAGCGAACGTTTTATACATAAAGCACATCACCGCCCCCGAACCCTTGAGTCAATATATTTTAAAGACTTGAACTGATGACAACTGAACGTGCAGTGATCTTCCTATGTTGTTATAACATTTCTTTCGTATACTCACTCTAAAGCGTGAGCTATAGCCAACACAATGAGCCACCTATAACATAGAGGTGTGTCACAGCGCCAGGTCAAGTGTAGGTTCCTACAGCGTATCGGGGTTTGTTTACACGCCCTATCAACGCATGTGTGTACCGAGAGTCAATGACGAGAGACTGGGACATCTTCCTCGTGTGATATGACTTTCATATAGCTATAGGTAGCTGACCGTTATTGATAGCTGTACTGGTACATGTTTGTCTTGGTGATTTAGACAACGGTTTCAGGAAATCGATTGACTACATGTACACGACACGCGACTATTTAAGCGTGGAACCACGTGTGTGATCTAACTTGGGATATCGATCAATCTAGGCACAGAGCTGAATGGTCAGGTTTGATGGAGACACAACGTCAAGACATAGTGGTATAGCGTACATTATGTATACCGCGTTATATCGAAGGAAGCCTGGACAGTCATCCCTTGCATCTAACCTTCCCATCAGCCACACAATCAATACAAGGTAAGGCATCATTCTTATATGCATCTATATATAATGAATATAGATTATATATATTTATATATATTTGGAGACAGTGGAGTTCCCAATGAAGCACCCTGCAGAACGTTATTGAACGGCCTCCACAGAAGGAGGTTGATAATACATCCATTGAAAATAAATAAATTGTCACTATTCACCAGTTGCATGGAATTCAAATACATGTGTCTACAAACGAATCGTGGGTGTTTTGGTAGAATACCCTTCAGAACTCGACAACGAATTATTAACACATAACTAAACGTAACAAATCTCGATCTTAATAACTAAACAAGGGTGAGCTATTTTCCCGTCACAGCAGAACGTGATTGTTTACAAGTGGGCTCTCTCGGTTGTCATAGCAGACCATACACCAGCGCGTTACCATAATATGTCGTTCATTCAATATTATCGACGTCGGGAATACACGGAAGGCATACCATTCAGACACCCGCTGTCGGTCTCACTTCTACAGTTAATACATATGCGCCATTCGTTATGGGTGATTGGCGGTGTCGCTGCCTTTATGTAGTGCGTGAAATCTACCTTTACGTTCACGGGAGCATATGCTTGTATCAGTAAGGGGCCCGTATTACACCCAGATGATGCCATTGAGCGTGACGGCGAGTGTCACCTATGGGTTGTGGTAACAGTGTACAGGCAACTCGCGGGCAACTGAGTCTCGGAGATAAGGATGTGAAACAACCAGTGAACGGGTAGGTTGAATGATGGTACAATCAGTGCTACAAATTCAACAAGGAACGGTAGATCTGGGATGTACACGTTTTTTCTGTCTGCGTCAAACATTGTGCACACTTCCTATTTATTTAACTCTGCACATATTTCATTTATATGTAAGTCAACATCTTGAATCGTACATTCTGTTTGGTCGGAAAGTGCCATATAATCTACCCTAGACAATGTTAGTGTTAATGACTCTGAAAGCACTCATCTTCTTTCTCAGGCTCCACCAGAAGGCAGTTTCAAACAACAATTCACTGAATTCTTTATTCTAAAATATTCATATGTGGCAATATACTAAATTGAAAACGCATCATAACTAGAAAAGAAAGCTTTGTGATATTAAGTAGAATAGGCATATGACATGTTAACTGCTTCACAATACATGTACTTCGACTTTCCTTCTGTAAAACACGATGATGTCATAGTAGGGATTTGCAACTGACGTTAAAAACGTAAGAATTTCTGAGCTCTTTATTGCTATTTATTCATCTGTTGTATTAGGTTGTAAATAATTAAGGCAAGAATTTGCGGAGAGAAATACAAGGATCAAAGCCGGGTGTCATTGGTAAATGAAATTGAACACTAACCTGCTAAATATATTACATGTACATTTGAAAAAACGTCAAATCAAGAGTTATTATTTGCACCTTTGTATTACGGAAAATTGTTCAGGTAATACTTTGCAAAGAGAAATACAAGGATTAAAGATTAACGCCGGTTGTCATTTAGGATACTTTGAAATTGTAGGTTCCAAACTGCAATAAAAGTTTTCAAATCTTCATTGAGATAACCTTTTATTTTCAAACCACGGTAGTTTTTTCACCATTATACGATTATACCATAAATATGGTGGGCAGTCTTTGGGAACGCGTAAAGACACTTGGATAAATTGGTCAGATTTCTCAGAACATTCCGAAAAGGTGTCACTAGTAGTGATACATGCAACAAATATTACTCAGGTTCAAGATTCCTGAGTTACACAGTTTTTGAAAAGTAATTGTTGAAATAACCCTCCACAGATATATATTCAGTTTCATCGCAAGTTGTTGTATATTTGAACTTTCTGGACCAATTAATTTCATTTTTGTGGCTGATGAGTGTTACCTGCCTCATTAGTTAGTGTATGGTTTACTTATATGTGAGTGTTCTAAAACAGATTTCATTATGCTTGATAAGCTGTTGCTTTGATGTCGAACAATTACAGTTCTTATAGGTTTTGTGTGAAAAGGCATGTTGATTTGAATCTATTGATTGGTCATAATCATGTTTTTAAATCCAATAGGAATCAAACATTCTGGACAGAATGGACAATGAAATAGAACGTTGAACCTGTGAAACGTGTTATATTTCAATCCAAAATAGTTCAGAATAATCAGTTTTTGATGATCTCCCAGACATAAAAGGAAAAACAGTGATGAACATTTTAAACATGGATCGCTGAAAATCAGTGATGACACCATGTGTTCACGAGAAAGGTAAAAATGTTCAGCTCTATTGGTAGCAACCGACTCACAAAATGATCATAAAAGATAATCGTTATTTTCTAACGGGGCACAAAGCAATACTCCTGCCGTACAACGATGGCATGTAAACAAGAGCGCCTTGACCAGACAGTCAGTTATCAGTAATGATCCTTGCTGTTGTGGAACAGCACGCTGTCAACTTTAACAAGCGTGAAAACCCAATCCATTAGATTAAGTGCCTTTGAGTAAGGAGTTGTGAAATCTCTCCGTAAAAGTTACAATGTGGAATATCATCGCGCTTCATGTTGGCAAGCAACCTGTCGTATTTAGAAGTTCCTCTTCACGTCCACCATAACAGTTTTTTAATAACATGACCAGTTCTTTGATGATGAAACCTTGATTGAAAAGCTTATTTTTAAAGTAAAATGTGTTTTGCCGTAACATTTGAACAATATTTATATGTTTCACACATTGGGAAACATAGACCCATTAAGCTGGCTTATATTGCTCGACATGAAGGGGAAATTCGCAATGGGGAAAGCAAAATCATCCCTCTTTTCGTGCAGCTTGGAATGGTGGCTGCTATTAATTTGAATTACTATAAATAGATCGACATAGGACACCAAATATGGTTTCTTGGTTGTTTTGTGTGCTTCTAGACCTGTCAGCACAAAACAAAGTTTCTTGTGGGTTTAACCAACATCCATTATAGATGAAATACAGTTAAAGTGGTGTTAAACTCCCCTCTCTCGCTCACTCACTCACGAACGAACGAAGACATGCATGAGGTGATTCGTATGTCTTTTGATATTTCGTCCTTCCAGGGCTCCTCAGCATCCTAAAGATAATGTGAATGAAACTTCTACGAACGAAAAAGGAACCCGGTTGCATATTGTCTCTGAGAAGACTGCTGTGGAATCCAGGACTGAAGATGTGGTCAAAACTAGATCCACCATTAGCAGAAAGACATCTGAACTGAAGTCACGACGACAAGATGGCAGACATGCAGGAAGACCTGGAACCAGTCATCGACACAGAGATCACCCAAGGCCTCATGGGAAGACATCAGCAACCGATGAAGTAATACGTGGGAATGTGACAGTGGAATGTCCGTCCACAGCCAAAATTGTCCGGATCTTCACAAGCAGCACGTTTACAGGTACCCTTTTCAACTCTGTCATGGTTAAGTGAGTGAGTGAGTATGGTTTTACGCCGCTTTTAGCAATATTCCAGCAATATCACCAGAAATGGGCTTCACACATTGTACACATGTCGGGAATCGAATCCGGGTCTTCGGCGTGACGAGCGAACGCTTTAACCACTAGGCTACCCGACCGTCCCTGTCATGGTTAAGGATACCTGGGCATTGTTTCGCGAACACCTGGTATCATTACTATTTGATAGTAGTTCAATACCACATGCTCATGATATAGTCGGAATCGTACACTCGACTCTGCTTCATGTAGAGATTTGTATTGGCTGTGGAAAGGGTTTTCTCACTTTATTTATAAAGAATATCCGAGCCAGCGAAGTTGGCGAGCATCATTATTTGTATTGAATGTCCAGTTACGCATGCGGTATCTGACTATATATGTAATGTTCTCATTAATGCCCCTGTGTATCTTCTTCTTCCTGTGTAGACACCTGGCACGAGCGGAATGCCCTGATGGAGAGTGCGTACCCCGCCCTGAAAGAGGTGTGTCAGCAGCAGGGGTATGAGTTCCAGGTGGTGGACATGAGATGGGGGGTCAGGGATGACGCCACGGACGACCACATGGGGACAGAACTTTGTCTGAGAGAAATTGATCTCTGCAAGAAATTGTCTACCGGGCCTAGTTTTGTTGTAAGTGATCAAGTTTCTAACTGAGGAATTTCAATTATCTGAAGATTACATATTCTTTAATAAATTCATGTTTAACTACATACCCGTGTAATGATATGGAGATGGCATCCTGATGTATTACCTACACAAGTGTACCAGAAAGGAGAGGAACAATTTATCTTCAGTAAGGGCCTGGCATTTTTGTTCTAGTGAGACGGTAGAATGATCGGTCTTTCACAATTGTTTTACATCTTCTGTAATAAATATAATTATCTCCTTTTTCAGACATTTTTAAGTCACAAGTATGGTTACCGTGACTTCCCAAACAAAATCGAAGCAACTGAATTTGACAAACTGTTTGCTGCTGTGGAAGAGGAAGAAGCATTAATGCTCCTTAAGACGTATGTACATGCCCATCAGAAGGTGAAATGGGCTTATCATCGCGTTCCAAATTATTGTACTAATGTTGTGACGTGCATGCGCATGTGTGTGGCTGCTTGTACTGTTTGATTAATGCCAGTTTTATCGTGCTTGACCCCTGAGATGCCATGCCACAGCTTAACATGTATACCACACTCAGACAAAGTGTCAGTCTCCGAGTCCTTGTGTTATGTCCTAAATGGCGAACGGCAGGCAGGGTAACAATATGTAACAGGTTTTAACGTCCTTTGGTACGACGCGACTGGGCAACGAACCACCTACCCTTCGCCATCTGTTCAGGTGTTCTATGCACAAGACCATGGAGGCGGCCTAGCGACAACATAGATTACTTAAAGATTTAAGAACACACGTTGTGAACCTTCATTTCCGTATATGCATCGTATAATGTCGTGTAATGTATTTACATTTTTGTAACATGATCAAAAATTGCATAACGAATGTGTGTAATTAAGAAAAGCATGTTGTTCCTATTTCGTCATTTTGTTTATAATGGATATGAACAATTGAGTATACACGAAAACTTCCCATCTCTACTTAACATCAGTTGGTTCAAGAGGGATGACAATACTGTGCCCCCGACGTATTTCCTTCAACCAATCAGCTCCATTCTACCCGACTTCCGAGATGAGAATGAGGAAAAGCGGAAGTCCGCGAAAACAGCTTGGTACGATCAGAATGCAATCATGCAGAAAGCCCTTGTGAAAGCAGCCAACCAGAAACTTGATACAAAGGCAGCTCATCGCTACGTCATGTCTGGTTTGTAATCCTGACTTGTCCTCTTTACGTTTTGTGTCTTGATTATGAGTGTTCCATTCAAGCATTCCTATTGATGACAGTGTTTATGCCTTCAGGTTTTACTTAGATTCGCCCTATGTTGATTACAGTGACCGAGGCAGAAATCACACGAGGGATAGTGGAGTCCGAAGATAGGTTGTCCAGCTGTTTGTGGTTTCACCGACACATTGATGCCATAGATAAACAGGAACCAGGCTACATTCTAAGCAGATATAAGGGTAGGACCTTGTAAATTTGTTACCTGTGATAAGAATATTGTCACTTTACAATTAATAGTTTGCTACAAAGAACAAAATCAATGATTAGTATTTCCCAGTGTTAACATAGCATATTGAAATCCACAACTATTCTTGTTCAATAGTCTCAACATCTAACACAGTTATATACTATCATGCAAAAATGATGATATCAGGAAATTGTTATGACGAAAGTAGTAGCACTTTTGCTGTCAAACTACAATGTCAAGATAGTTACACGGTCAACATTTGTTAACAATTAGGTCACCATAAGAACATTATGTGATATATGACAATTGTCATTTATTATAGAATGCCTTGGACCTGAGGAGAGAGTCAAAGAATCTCAGGTTCTCTTGGCTGATCTACGGGACAAAAGACTTCCGATCTTGTTGTCATCTGAGAATCACAAAACATACAACATCGAATGGACAGACAGTGGTGAGTATTGTGCCAGTTATTACGTATATTGAATCAAGGAAACGTATTTGAATATTGTGGGAAGATATATGTTTCTTTGTTTTTTTGTCAAAAGGGGTAGATCCTACAAAGAGTAAAAGACACGAGGCCTACATCAAACAGCTGTGTCATGATTTCACGGAGGACATTTCAAAGAAAGTGATGCAAGCCATTGAGGATAGGAAGAGAACAGACTTGGCCAACCCTTTGTATGGAGAGATTGTCGAACATACAGTCTTTTGTCAGGCGAAATGCAAAGCTTTTCATGGACGACAGGACACGCTAGACGTAAGTTTTGTTGCTTTTTGTAAATGTCAGGCGAAATGCAAAGCTTTTCATGGACGACAGGAAACGCTAGACGTAAGTTTTGTGGCTTTTTATAAACACATCTTTGCTATGATAACGACGGCGATAGTATTATGCTTTTACGATGATGATTGCAATATGAACACGCAAAAAACAACATTAGTCAATGATAAAGGGGTTGTCACTTAACAACGTACCTTTCCTTCGACTCATACATCTACGCATCCCTGTTGCAGAACTTCATCTGTCTTTAATTTTAGCTCATAACGAAATACCTTCAAGGAACTTCTAGAACTCCTTTCATTGTGCACGGACCTTCAGGCTGTGGGAAGACATCCATTGTTGCCATGGCAGCTACATTAGCACTGCAATGCTTCAACAGCAAGGCTGGGATTGTCATAAGGTATAATAACTTCTGTCAACTAAAGATAATTGAGGAAATACCTTGTATTGGCATATATTACTTTTGTCATTTATAAACATATTGTTTTCTTTTATGAACGACAAAATAATCACAACTTGCCCTCTATTAACCTGAAACTAAATTTTGACCTTTCAAAGGGCATGTAAAGTGAAAAAAAGGATTGCAATCTTGTTGCCAAGAGAAACAATCATAACATTCGTAGAAAGTATGGAAATGTCCAATGAAAGTAATTAAATCTTACGCTAAGTATTCGGATACCTCAACAAAACTATTTGGGGGCGTGGCCTAGAGCTACAGGCGCAACGGTGTAGCAGCTCGTGACAAATGCATTCATTGGCTGTTAGGAACACTTGGTTGTTGCCTTTATCTACTATATAGTCTGTCTTTTGGTGCTTAGCAGCTATACGGTTACGTCAGGAAGCGGCCAATATGATCTGTTTCTGTTGATCCTACAATACATAACATTGCATATATTGTCCCTGGGGCGGTCGGGTAAACTACAGGTTAAAGTGTTCGCTCGTCACACCGAGGACCCGGGCTCGATTCTCGACATAGGTACAATGTGTGAAGCCAATTTCTGGTGTCTAGCTGTGATATTGCTGGAATATTGCTAAAAGCGGCGTAAAACCAAACTCACTCACTCACATTGTTCCGGTCCTCTTCCACAATGAATGCCTGTCAGGGATTACTCACGTGAGCAGACAACTGAAGGCATCGTCAATCTTGTTACTAATAAAGCATAAGTTAACAATAGGTGTGGGAACGGTAATCAAACAGAGTAGCAGACAGAAAAAGCCGCGTAATGTGATTAAAAGATCTGAGGCTGAACCAGGCAGAACCGGGCAATCACGGAAATTTTGCAGGATGTCAAACACCGGGGACACGTTTTAACCCCAGTGGCGGATTTTTTCATTCAGGGGACGATTTCGCCTGTCATTGTTTACACTATTTCCCTGTTTCAAATTTAACTTTGGTAAAGCATTTAGGATTAAGTATAAGCCCTAAAGTATTGAAATCTGCCATGTTGAGTTTACTCGCTCCATAAAGTTCCCCTTATTAACTGTATATATGCTTTAATAATTGTGCGTGGACACGGAAGTTCTTTGAAGGAACCTGGCATTGTGTTATTTAAACTGTACAAAGGGTAAACACAATAATGTTACAATACTGATGTGCATGTTCCAACTCATCAGATTCATTGGAACTACACCTGACAGTTCAACCATAGGTGCATTGTTGTCCAGTGTGACGTCACAGATATGGAGGATTTATGGTGACGATGAAGACCAGGAGCTGCCTGCTGTAAGAACCGTGTCTCCTCTCCATAGTGCAGCTAAATTGTTAGTTTGGTCTCACTGTTTCAAAGTGCAGCCAAGTTGTCACATATTTGAATCTTCCAAGTGTGGCCATGTGGGTAGAGATGTTCATAGTGTTGTCTTTGCACCAAACCAATCTGATGAAATTAGTGTCACAATTCAATAAATATGTAAATACAGTAGAACATGGATATAACGAACTACAAGTGACCGGAGAAATCAGTTCATTATATACGTTGTTCGTTATATACGTTGTTCGTTATATACGTTTTCGCTCGGTAACGTCCGCTATCTAAAACAAAACACAATACACATACACGTTAATGCACGTTTCTTCCAGAGTTCGTTATGTACGTAAAATTTTATATGATAATATATAGGAGATAAATCTGGGATTTTTTAACAGCTCGTTGTATCCGTTTGTTCGTTCTATCCGTGTTCGGTGAGACTCTTCCTCAAGGTGAAATCAAGTGGGTCAAGTTGGATCTCTTACTCAAAGTGTTGTCTAGTGGTTAAGATGTGCCTCATCTTCAAATGATAGTCTAGTTGATAAATATGTGTCTCTTCCTTAGAGAGTAGTCTAATGGTTAAAGTGTGTCTCTTCTTCAAAGCGTGGTCTGGTTGGTGAAGACTGGTCTCTGCCTTAACATTTTAGTCAGTGGGTAAAGATGTGTCTCTTCTTCATCAGGCTGTGTAGTTGGTACATAGGTGCCTCTTCTTCAAAGTGTAATCCAGTGGATAAAGATGTGTCTCTTCTTCATCAGGCTGTGTAGTTGGTACATAGGTGCCTCTTCTTCAAAGTGTAATCCAGTGGATAAAGATGTGTCTCTTCTTCATCAGGCTGTGTAGTTGGTACATAGGTGCCTCTTCTTCAAAGTGTATTCCAGTGGGTAAAGATGTGTCTCTTCTTCATCAGGCTGTGTAGTTGGTACATAGGTGCCTCTTCTTCAAAGTGTATTCCAGTGGGTAAAGATGTGTCTCTTCTTCATCAGGCTGTGTAGTTGGTACATAGGTGCCTCTTCTTCAAAGTGTAATCCAGTGGGTAAAGATGTGTCTCTTCTTCATCAGGCTGTGTAGTTGGTACATAGGTGCCTCTTCTTCAAAGTGTAATCCAGTGGGTAAAGATGTGTCTTCTTCATCAGGCTGTGTAGTTGGTACATAGGTGCCTCCTCTCCAAAGTGTAATCCAGTGGGTAAAGATGTGTCTCTTCTTCATCAGGCTTTGTAGTTGATACATAGGTGCCTCTTCTCCAAAGTGTAATCCAGTGGGTAAAGATGTGTCTCTTCTTCATCAGGCTGTGTAGTTGGTACATAGGTGCCTCTTCTTCAAAGTGTAATCCAGTGGGTAAAGATGTGTCTCTTCTTCACGGGGTAACCTAGTGTGTAAAAAGCTGCATCTGCTTCAAAGCATAGTCTTGCCATCGAAAGCATTATTGTTAGAATATTTCTAAAATTGAAATCATGCATCAATCATTGAGACATGTAACGCAAATGTATATTCAACCTTGGATTTATTTTCTGTTCCTTTTTCTGTTCAAGGATATCAAAGAGCTTGCCAAAATATTCCAAGAGGCTCTTAATATGGCCAACAGTAATGAGCCTTTGGTTCTACTACTTGACTCACTTGATCAGTTTGACCCATCTGGGGGTGCTCGGCAACTGTTCTGGCTTCCTAAACAACTCCCTGACAATGTGAAGATAATATTGTCCACATTACCAGAACCCCAGTATGAGAGTTTTCCTCGATTACAGGTAAATACAAAACATTAGCTAGAAATAAATTGTGTTTCAATGTGTCCAAGTTCCGATACCTGTTTTACAATGTTACATTCTAAGTAAACTTTTTCAGGAAATGTATTCTGAAAGGAACAATTTCCTGAAGGTACCAAAACTCGCAGACAAAGACGTCGAGGGCATTCTTACCAAATGGTTAAATGTAAGTCGTCGTGATCTGACTGATCAACAGAGGCAAACCGTCCTTAGGGCTTTTCAGAAGTGTCCACTCCCTTTGTTCCTGAAACTGTCATTTGATGAGGCATGTCGTTGGTCGTCCTTTGCATCCCAGTCAGAGACAACTCTCCAACCATCTATTCGAGGAAGTATCAATGCCCTGTTTTCCAGAGTTGAAGGACTACATGGAAAAATCTTTGTGTCAAGAGCTCTAGCATATCTCACATTGAGTAAGTAATTTATGTTAGTTCATGCATGTAAGTGTCACTGGCAGGTTTCAATTAGTTGTGCAGGGTTGTGTCACTCAGTTGTGCTCATTGCGGGTTATCATTCGATCTGACTAGGTTCTATCTGATTATGAAACTTGGTATGTGACTACCATACCTGCGATTGTTCATTTCACACCAGTGGTAAACCTCTACAACCTGCCTCACATTCGACTTTCATCAACTCATCAAGATGGCAAACTGTGGTCTTTTCGTAACAAAACATGTATTAACATGTACTACTTGACGATTGTGTACATGTCAGCATTTAGGAACGCGGGGGTACGGGTGGCCCAGTCATCTAAGGCGCCGCGATTCGCTGTGCAGAGTTGCGTACCTTGGGCACGCCAGAAACCTATGATTGTGGGTTCGAATCCCGGTTCGCCCCGTTTCTAGGTTTGTCAGCACCATACCCGTGCTCGTGGGTTTCACCAAAGTGGTAAACATCTGAGACCTGCATCACTTCGGGTTTTCCTCCCACATTAAGCTGACACGCCGTGATATAACTGGAATACTGTTAAAAGCGGTGTTAAACTCAACTCCCTCACTCACATTTAGGAACCCTTGACTTTTGTGAGCGTAAGGCTGATGGCATATATATCATTATTTATAAAAAGATTCATTTTGAATTCATATATGACTTGTTGTTATTATGTCTTCTTCAGGTAAAACAGGCCTAACGGAGAGTGAGTTGGAGGACATCCTGTCATGTGACGATGACGTACTCAATGACGTGTACATGTACTGGACGCCCCCTGTCAGGCGACTTCCGCCTCTTCTCCTGGTCAGGCTGAAGGCAGACCTGGGTCAGTACTTGGTGGACAGAGGCGCGGATGGCGTGAGAGTCTTCTTCTGGTATCACAGACAGTTCATAGAGGCTGCCACAGACAGATATTGCTCTGATCCTCAATTGAACCAAGTATTGCATGGAGCTTTAGCAGATTTCTTTGCTGGAACTTGGGCAAATGGTGAGTAATTACACACAAATGATCCACATCTCGTATGTTTGTCTTGTTCGTGATATGAAAACATTTAAGTGCTTTAACCATTAGGCTACCCTATCGCACCCACACGGTCTTAAATCATTCGGTCATGAATATGTTCAATCAGTTCAGATGAATAGATGTTGGACTTCATTTCCATTTCTATCTACCTTTCTGTTTAGGATCACCCGGTGACCTCACTGATTTTATGTAATTCATTCACATTACTTTCACTTCTATTTTGCAGTTTACGCCAAGTGGAATCTGTTTCAGCAGATAATCTAGACTGATATATTATAATTATTTATATTTATATTGGTGATGTTAAAATTCAGGTAAGGCCAAAGCGTATCTTGACAAGAAGGGTAACACAGAAACTGCTGACCGAAGGGCTGCATCACAGCCTGACAAATTCAAGACTGGTTATAATTTGAGAAAACTGAACAACCTGCCTTACCAGCGGACAGAAGCAAAGCAGCTGAGTCAGCTAAAGCAAGAGTGTTTGTTGAACTTTGCTTTCCTCCTGTCAAAACTGCAAGCATCGGGTTTAAGGTAAAATATATGACAAGCAAGGGTGAGGTAAGGTGAAATCGCGTTTTTACTTCGTGTGCAATATTATTACACGTATTAAGTCACGTCCATGCACGTGTATGTTTGGCTGTTTTCACTAGTCCGGACTTCGGCTGAGTTCATATTGCGAGCACATTTCCACAGTTTAACATGGATATGCCACTTGGACACATAAATCTTACAAGTACCCATCTTTCAAGTATGTTGGCATCACACGGCCAAGGGATAGTAGCTATATCCACAGCACTACGGAGGCAGTTGCTACACTCAAAGACCCCGGAAACATGAACTAATCAATTAATAAGCACTAATCGGTTGAAATATTAAAATGCTACGCGTGACACAAACAACATCAGTATTATTTTTAATCCTGTAATTAATACTCCATGAATCCAGGCCTATCTTAGAGGACTTCATTGCCGCCAGACATGTGTACCCAGGGGACCATGAACTAAAGACTGTGGGAGAGAGTCTTCAGTTATCACAAGATGCTCTTGTATCATATCCCAACGAGCTCCCGTCTCAGCTGCTGGGCAGGATCAAACAATGGGATGGCCTGGAGGATCTCCTGGCCGGTTGTAGGAATGCACCAAACTACTTCCTTGAGCCTGACAGACCAGTCTTAACAGAGCCCGGTGGACAGCTGGTGAACTGTCTTGCTGGACACAAAAAAGAAGTGTATGGTATTGATATGACCAATGACTCTGGCTTTATTGTGACATGTAAGTCTGATAGTAATTAATGTCATATCAAAACGCCATAACATCAATTTGATGTGCAAGCGCTGATTATGCTAATCCTGACATATAATCGTAGTATTGTCTTCACTCTGCTAATGTTTCCGTGAAGATCCGGGTCAGGATAGGTCTTCAGCAACCCACATTTGCCGTAAAATGTGACTATGCTTGTCGTAAGAGACGACTAACGGGATCGGGTGCTCAGGCTCGGTAACTTGGTTGATGCATGTCATCGTTTCCCAATTGCGTAGATCGATACTCATGGTGTCAATCATTGGGTTGTCTTGATTTTTTACAGACCGGCGTCATATAGCTGGAATATCGCTGAGTGCGAGGTTAAACAACAAACAAACCAAAACAAACAAACCGTTCTTCTAATGTTCACTTCTATTCCCAGGTGCCTATGACAGGTCGGTGAAAGTCTGGGACGTTGCCAGTGGAAAACTGGTTCGGTCAATGGATGATGTTGGGGAAGACCCGGAGAAGGTCCTACTATGCTGTGATGACTCTGTAATAATTGTTCACCCAGATGAACATATACTTGGTTATGACTTCAAAACAGGTGCCCTGCTGTACGACATACACACAGAAGAAGGAAGACTTCTGTTCTGTGTGGGAGGAAAGGGGAACAGTATCATTGGAACCTTTCACGAAAAGTCAGTGTCACTTTATGCTGCCGACACGGGGACACTCCTAGAAACTGTGGTGTGTACTCTGCTTGGAAAAAAACAGGAATTCACAAGCAATACTGTCTGTGCTGGTACGTATCTGAGAACTAAAGGTTTCAAAATCCAAGCCTTCATTATCTGTTTCTGTCGCATGAAAAGGCACAGATCGAACAAGATGGAAGCACACACAAAAATACAAATATTTGTCACATATGATTACACAAGATGCTCATTATATTGAAAGACATAGCTGTCACATCAGTGGCAACCATCCTGTGAAAAGGGTATTATGTATTCTATCTGACCAAACATTTGACCATAACAGCAAAAAATATTTCACTTTCAAGTAATTAAATTGTGTGGGAGAAAGTATTCACTTTGCATCTCAAAAATGACTATTTGTCTGTTAAATGTTAAGGGCTCTGCTTTCCACAAAATTTACTGACCTTTGGTTTATATTATTTTTTTCTCGTTTTTACCCAGGTAGTATACGCTATATGGCTGTTGTCGATGATGACCAGTACTGGGTATTTATTCTTGACTTGGAGACATCACAATTCATTCGAAAGAAAAAGATCTTCGAGAAATTCAAAGATGAAGATGGTGATGATGAACAGTACACAATTGAAGCTCTTGTTCTTTCTCTCAGCGGACACCGACTCTACCTTTCAGAAATGTATAAAAACGACCTTCAAGTATACATCACAGATACAATGGAGCAGGAATGTGTCTATCCAGGTAGGTATAGAAGGTCACATAGCCTTGTTCCTGAAGTGTAGCCACCATGATGAACAAAGTGAACAAACTACGTGATCTAGGCTACCAGTTGTCGGACTTTCATTTCGTTGGACGCGTCGGTGGCTGAGTCGGTTGGACTTTGTGTGCGATTAGGTGCCTCACTCTGGCAGTGTGGGTTCGAATCCCGGATGTGACTCATCCCCGAAACGTACATGAATCTGTACTTTACTGAGAAAGTGTTGTCCCAAATATAATATTTGACCACTTTCTAAATGGCATTGTGTGTTTTCACCTTGATGAAGCTGGAATATTGCTGACTGTAAAAAGAAATATATCTACACACTTAAATTGGCCGAGGTGATAAAACAATAATATTTACCACTCACCCTTAAATGTTTTGAGGTGAAAAAATCAACTGTGACGTATACAGGATACAATTGAAAATAATTAAAGAAAATGTCTTAAGAGTAAAAAGAAAAAATACTCCTGTTCGTCTACATATTTGTACACGTTCGCTCCGTCTTCCGTTTTCGAATGTCGATTGTATTGCCTCCGTGTTCTGACAGGTAAAGATAGAGACTCCTCTGAGAGGTTCAAGCTTACGAAAGATGGGAAAACTCTGTACTTTCCCAACAGTGACCATGTCGTTTTATGGGACTTACACACTGGAAAACGATCTACAGTTCTTCAGCAAGGCCTAAGTAAAGTTTCATTTATGTTGATACCTACTGGTGACCAATATATGTTAAGAACAAATGCCTTACATTTATATAATTCATTTTCTTTCGTAAATAAATATGCTTTTAATTTTTTTTCAGTGATTTTAATAACTTCAGTATAAAATAAACAAAATGGTAACGTGTGTGAGTAGAGTTTTCATAATGCACCGTAATCAAACGACCCTTCTCTGAACACATATATCTTCTCATACGTTCTACTTGTGAAAGTGGTTCATATTCCAAGTGCCACTCTTATAATTTTTGGGAAGTGATATCATTTGAATGTTTGTATTCACTCATTTTGCATGTGTTAGATACGTCTACTATAATAGCGTGAAAAGATGAAAGAGGCTTCAGAGTATAATTAGTCGTTTAATTATAATTTCGTCACCAGGCATGACCGATGTGGTGATGAAGGACATGACAACAGCTGTGTCCTACAGCGATGACAGGGTGGTTCGAATCTGGGATTTAACCAGGGAGGCAAAGTCTCACAGTGACGGGCAAGAAAGCGAGGAAGACATTGTAGACTCAAAGTCCCTTGTGGGCGATGATGAAGCTGATACTGGAAAAGAGCTTACAGATGCAAAGGAGGAGGAAAAGAAAGCAAAGCCCATAGAAATCAAGTATGGTCACGAAACACAATACTTCCTTGTCAGGCTAACACGTAGAAAAAGTCCTCTATGGACAAGCATTGTTGCTGAATAGCGGACTTTACATTGTTTCACTAGGTAAACTAAACTGATTAAACCTAATGTCAAACAGGAAGTGTGTATCCAGCGATTAAATGTGCCCTGACCCATTATTAAAGAATTATCTTCCTGTATTTAGATTTGGTTCTCGGTATGACCCTTTAAGTTCCTTGGAATCATGAATGCACGTACAGGAATACACACATAGTAACACATTGTCCTAGTCATTGCTCTCTGGCAATGATACTTCCACTGAGCGTCAGATGTGATAAATATCTCACATTGTTTCACACTTCTGAAACACAATTTGTAAACGAATTCAAACCGGAAAATCTCTAGGATCCAAAACAATTTGCACAATACGCTGAATGAGCCCACAACATTTTTACAATTGTTATATTTTTAAAGGCGTTTGATGACGCTGCCAAACCCACGATATGTTCTGCTGAAAGCCAGTCGCACCATGACGAAATATCTTCAAATTTACGATCTGCCACTTAAGAAGGTAGTCAGACACATCAAAGTGGTAAGTTAAAACAATATACATTAATTTCATTTTTATCGTGTTTTGAGTTTTGGATAAGAGAAAAACCTCTCATCAAGCATGTTTTAGAATGGCCTTTGGTATAATATCACATTAAAATAATAATCTTTCTGAAAGTTTGTATCGGAAAAATAAATTATTTGACTATTTTTCAGGATCTCTCGCCTTCAAAAATTATCCCCCTTGACGACAGTATGCAAGTCCTGGTACGCGTTAGAAGACGACTGAAGGTCGTAGACCTATCATCTGGAACTCTACTGAGAACGTTCGAAGGGAAAATGTCAGAGAACAGTTCAGATTTCACTCTAGTATCAGACAAGAAAGGTTTGTTGGAAAATATGACACAATAATACATATGTTCATCTAAACACATTCTTTGTACATTTCATTACCCTTAGTGATGATATATATCGTTATTGTCATTCTCCAGTAGATATGAACCGCAGTTTTAAAGTGAGTGGGTTTGTTTTAACGCCAATGTGAACAATATTTCAGTTAGATCATGACGTGTCAGCTTGATATTGGAGTTAAGTAAGTTTCTTAGCCGTTTATCACTTTCGTGAAACCTACGGGTTCGGTGCTGATAAACCTAGAGACGTAAATAGGGTGAATCGGAATTCGGTCCCCGAATCAAAGGCTTCTGGCACAATGAAACGTCATCTGTCCACTTAGGATAAGTTGTATTTCACACTGAAGGCTACAGGGTCACAGTAAATTGTAAATAGTAAATGTTCGGTTGTGATACGTTTAACAGTTCATATTCTAGTTTTCGAGCATGATAAATGAACATTGATGTTTTTAGGAGGAGAATTATCAGTTGTTGACATGATCGATAAAATGTTATGTTGAGTCGGACTTTGCTATATATTTACTTCTTAGTTGTATTTGTTTGACAAACTGACAGATAGTGAAAATCATCTTCAATCACATTATTTCGCATTGCTTGCACATTCTCAATTCTCTATCTATGTTTCTATGTCTGCCTACTTCAATCATAGGTCTATGACAGCTGCATATAAATTGTGTTAAAGCTATTCTCTAAATATTTTAAAATAGATATAAAAAGAAAGTATTCTAGGGAAATATTTGTCTTTAAAAATTTCTAATTATTGCATTTTTCTGATCTAAAAAGCGTGCGATGACCGTTGATGTAAGTAGATATCAATACCTCTTTTGCGTAAAGATACGAAAAGCGAATCTGGATTGTTTGGTACACATTGATATCTCCAAACATACCCATAGCCGCATTCATTTTTTCAGTCAATTGTTTTATTCACAAAAAGTGTTAGGCCGTAGGCCTATTACACAGAACTATTTACAGAGAGAGGGAGAAAAAAGAATTACCACTATTTTACATATATATCCATATCCATACACATTCATACACATACGCATGCATATATACAAATAGATATTTAAACTGTATGTAATGACCGAAGTCGAAAAGCTTTGCATTCATTTAATAACGATTTCACATCATATACCCAATTGTGAAGTCCATGCTTTTCATTCAATAACATTTTCTTGATAATTTATCTATAGGCATTTTAAGAATCTTAGAATACGTAAGAATTCTATTATATTGAAATATGATAGGTGGCACACGTCCACAATCACCATATACCCTAACTTGATGTACAGTTTTTTTTACACCAAGGCATCTTTTACAAGCATATTGATGGACCAGTTCAATAGCTCTGTATTCATTATCACCCCAGACCTTTGCTCCATACAAAAAGTAGGAGTTATTTTTATATCAAATATTTAAAAACGGTTTTATATGAAAGATTATTTAAGTTTGTAAGATACCCATCGCTAATTTGTGACAATTCCACGATAATCTGCTTGTGAAAATAACACTCAGACCTTTTGAAGTTGTAGCTTTTTAAAAGACACTGCAGATCTGTGCAATATCTTGATGCACCTGTATACCATCGCTACAATTATCTTTAATTTGTGCAGCAGGTTCATTGATAAAAAAACAGGAAAGGAAAGAGTCAAACATATGTACGGTTGAAATAATGTTTAGATTGTTCTTGATTTCTTTACTTCTTGCCTATTTCAAAGTGAAATCATTGGAAATGCCATATATCTTTGATCTAAGGGATCTCTCCACCGTGAAGACTTCAGCTTTTCTTCACAAGTTTAACGATCAGAGGGCGTGGTCTATCCATGCTATTCTGTGCGAGCGCTCAATGTCCCTTGGAACAAGCAGATCTATGTTATTGGCTTCCCTTTGTTCAAAACTTCCAAAGTTTTAGTTTTGCAGATTGCACTGGATTCACTCGGTCCCTCTGGAAATAACATACAAAATTATATTGTTTCTTTGACCCCCTTCTCTACATGTTCTCCAGTATCAACATTGTCAAATTTACAATAAACATCGTTTAGGTTTTAATAGACAGCATCCAATTCAAGCCTAATAATATCTGTTCTCCCATGTTTGTACTCATTTATTGCGTAGATCTGTGACGTCACATCGTAACGTTTGTAATTCTTGTTTTATTGTACCAAGGTTCTATCACTGGCCTAGGTCCCCATTTCAATATTTTTCAATTTCCTACGGGGGGGGGGGGGGGGCACGGGTCTAAGGCGCCGCGATTCGCTGTGCAGAGTTGCGTACCTTGGGCACGCCAGAAACCTATGATTATAGGTTCGAATCCCGGTTCGCCCCGATTATGTTTCTAGGTTTGTCAGCACCATACCCGTGCTCCTGGGTTTCACCGAAGTGGTAAACGTCTGAGACGCCGCGATATAACTGGAATACTGTTAAAAGCGGCGTTCAACCCAACTCACTCACTTACTCAATTTCCTACGAGAGACAAAGCGATATGCTGCCACTCCCCAACGGAGATAATCACCATGTGTGAAGAACGCTTAACCATGTGTGCTTAGGTTTCTATAAAAATAATAATAATAATAATAATAATAATAAAAGCATGTGGTTTTGACACTAAGGTCCATCCATGGTACGACCTAGAATATGTAGAGAGCGTCATGGAAAATGATAAATACAAAATTATTTGGAACAGGCCCGTATAGCGCCTCCGACGTATCCAGGTCAACAATCCTGATCGTGACGATTTTGAGAAATCCAATGAAATCATTTATATTAGTGACTTTTCAGTCCTTTTTGCACAAATGTGATTGACAAGATTCAGGAAAAACATGGCATATTGCAGACCTCGCTTTCGAAATGGCGGTACCTCCCAATCTGTTGACATTGGCATATTTTATTACTTTTATTTACTTTTTACTTTTATTACTTTTTCTACTAACCAGAAGTTGCATGTCCCACACGAGGACGCAAGGGAATCAAGCTGTATGACCTTGAAACTGGAAAGACACTGGCCGTAATGGAGGCAAAAATCACAAAGAAATTTGATGACCTGAAGGTGAGTTTCTTTGGCCAATACCATTTAAATGAGTAAGTGAATGCTTTGATACATCAAGCACTATTACAACTTTATCATGAAAACGGTATATATTTATCACCGAGTTCCCCACAAAGGCATTTGTGCTGGACTTTTCCAGGAAATCAGCATCATTATAAATGATGCCATAAGACTCTAACTTCTCACAAGAACATAGAAAATCCATTATGATTGCCTTTCAACATTCATTATGCTTCACAGAAGGACAACACTAATTTACTGATGCACAAAGTTTTCTTTATGACAGCCATATTAAGAACTTTATGACCATTATGCACCAATTTGACAAAGATAAGAATCCTTTGACCAAGAAAGTATAATATTATTTTCTGTAACCATTTCAATAATATAACAAATCTCTGCTAAACTAAAAGTCGGTTGTGCGATTCCAATTATCTCATGCTTGTGGTTTTGAATCACCATCAAGTAGTGATGGTACCAAGAGTTCGCGAAAAGGTGAGCGTAACCTGCCCCACTGGTGGCACCCTTCACAAACACTTTCAAAGGCAAGTCAATTGTTCACCAAAAAACATGAGAACATATAGTCCTAATCGAAATAAGGAATTGCCTTATTTGCTGTTTGTATCTTCTAAATGTTGGACAATATATCTTCATACAGTATTATAGTTATTGTGTTTAAGACTTCTGTCCTGTGGTTCTTCCTTCAGGCTAGCGAGAAGGGCACAGTCCTGATAGCATCTACAGATGACGGGCCTTGCTACGTGTTCGACGTACTGACACGTACCTGTTTGCATGCAATCAATCCTGTACAACTCAACTGCGATGACATTTACATCAACGACGCCGTTGTCACCAATGATGGTGCCTATTTTGTGTGCCAAGCAAACACAGTTCCCCAAAAGGCACCTGAAGAAAGTAACACGGAGTATATACCACTTTGCTGGGACATACAGAACAGTAAGTACAATGTCACAACAAAATAATAACCAATTCTTTGATATATTTTACATCTATGGCATACTTCCTATTTACGCTGAAAGATGACCAGTTAATTAAAACGTATGCTACTATAAAGAGAACGTAGGCTCAGGTTATCTAACCAACTTGAGCACCACTATAGGTAAATGTTAGATAAGGATGTGGGATTTTAATTATTATTCTAGACATAAATCATCACCAGATTATAGGTCCCTAATAACTTCATATTCGTGGCTCGGGTGGTCAGGTTGATTGCATGTCATTTTATCCCCATGGCGTGGATCGATGCTCATAATATTGTTATGTGGCAGAAGAAACTGTTTCATTGTAGTTATTGTTTGTGGCATCAAAATGTTGAAAATGTCAAGTGCCCTAGTGGCCGTATTTGAACCTCAACCGCAGTGAATGGAACATTCCAGAATCTCTTTGTACTCTGGAGAGAGTTATCTACCCCTTGTTGTTTAAATGAACAAAGCAGGCTTGATCGCCGGAGAAGTTTCTAGCTTGATGTTGTAGTTTCTAGAAGGCTGGCTGTGTGACGTTTTGATGATATCGGAGGGAAGGTTCGCCCTATAGTCCTCGCCATTGAACTAAAATCACGAAATATCGCGATTGTTTATTAACGAAGATGGGTGCATGTGCTCTAATACATATAAACTGATAGAGGATATTCCACGTGTCGAGCGAAATATCACGTTTCTTTCATATGGTGACGGGGAAAGGAGATATTTTTTAATCGTGCCTACTTATATACTTTTTGTGTAGTTGTCTACTGGAAAATTAAAAGATGTTATTACAAATGTAAAACCTCTAAACATAAATTCTCCCTACCTATAACGCAGGTACGTTTCACCACTTCTTATAATTGCGACTTAAAAATTACTATCGCGTAGAAAATATAAACAAAAGTAACACAATATATTTGAGGTCATTAAAATTCGGTATAATGCATGTGTGTGTGTATATATATATATTTATCATATAATGGTTAGGTTTCTCGGCAGGATAAAGCCAACGGATAAAAACGATATCCGTTGGGGTCATATGTGGATAGATATGCAAATATCAAGGGTCAAGTAGGAACTACTTTCACTGTTTATAAACAAACATTGCGTAGTCTTGTCATTCGGCGATCGAGTCAGAATTAACCATCTGGAATGTGGAGAAACTACAGCGATAATTGTTATCATTATGAATAGAATAGTCTAATATACTGAAAAAGAGTGTCTAACTGTGAAGTAGCTAAGGCATTTTACAAGTTTTGACAACTTTGGAGATATAATTTGCGAAACAATTTAGCGAGGGCACTAGCCAAGCGGGATCACTTTGCATACCTGTTCTTGTAGACCTCTGCGGGTTGGAACCTTTTCCACAAGTTGAAACAGTTGGGTTTGGCCGAAATATGTTCGAATTGTTATCTTGTTCGTTTTTTCACTGTGTGTACATTTGACTGCACTTCTAACGTTATAACAAAACAGGCCGACTGTCAACAACGTCTGAACGTGGCCGTGACGTCTCAGATACTAGGGTTAGAGTAGCTTCCCTTTGACAAAGGGCAGTTACTCTAGCAGACAGACTGATGGATTGTCGCGAAAGGCAATTAAAAACAATTGTTGTTTTGCGTATATGTTGCTTCGCCACTGTATAAGAAACAGATTCCAGTTGGAACTTTAATGGCTACTGTCACTGTCCGTCTGACACATCACTTACCCTGTGACGTAATAAATATTAATGCGCGCATTCCAGGAAAACTCGCAATGTTTCGCTAATGTTTGTGAGAGATGGAAAGCGATTTTGAAGCACAGAATTAAAGATAAATATGATAAAGAGGTTATCACGCGAGTGTGTTTGGGGATGGTAAATATCCTGTATTAGTAATAAACACTATTTATTTAGCTCGCCAAGGCTCGCTAAATACAATGTTTATTCCTAATGCAGGATATTTACCATCCCCAAACACACTCGCGTGATAACCTCTCTCTCTCTCTCTCTCTCTCTCTCTCTCTCTCTTTCTCTCTCTCTCTCTCTCTCTCTCTCTCTCTCTCTCTCTCTCTCTCTCTCTCTCTATATATATATAGTGGGCATACACTTAACATAAAGGGGAGACAATTTAACTCTTGTAAGACAATAGTTCCGTTTAAGTTTTATGTTCACTGCAGTGAAATATCAAGTGTTATGTTCACTGCAGTGAAATATCAAGTGTTGTGTTCACAGCAATAAAAATATCACTTTTCTCAACCTCAGAAATTTTCACACTGAAGTACATACTAAATAACAAACCATTCTGACTATAAGGAATATTACTTCAAGTAATGACAAAACTTGGAAAATCTATTTTGTTGGCGAAAACAATCATCATTTAGTTTTGATCACTTAGTTACAATCCGGGTAAGGGTCGGCAGCAAGGGGACTGAGAGTGGCTATATTTAGGAGCGTACTGGACAAAATCAGAACAAGGTGATGCCATTTTGGGTTTTGACTTCAGCTTATGCCCACAAGGAACAGAGACTCACGACATTATAAGCTATTCAATGGAGTGGGACGGTCATTTAAAGAGGATGCAAAGCTTCTTTAACAGATCAATCACAGAAAAAATTAACGGTAAATCTTGCAAAATCTGAATATTGTGTGTCTCAGGTCATGTATTCGGTTCATGTCAGGTACAGCAGATAAAAGCAAACGTTGAAGCTATAGCTGCATCCTTCTGAAGTGATGACAGGAAGAGGCTGTGTAGGGCACCACATTCACTTCAGCCTTCACTATGCATCTTCTTAAAGCTCTATTTTATACATTTGTTTGTGGACTATTTTCAGACTGTTTTCACAAGGAATTAGTTGATTATGAATACTACCTTAAATACGCCAAGGATAGTGGCAACGACGACACCGGTGTAGATGTTTTCCAACTGCTTGATTACAGGACAATCATCTGTAACCATAATGATGCATATATTCGAGTGTTCGATCTGAATACAGGTAGGTCAATCTTGAATATACATCCGCCTTCGCAGCAATTGCAAATCCTACACATGATGATCTTTTAAACAAATAAACTAAGCATGTGTTTGTCAACAAAAAGATGTTTAGGTAATAGCTTAACATAAGTCAATCGTCTTCGCATAGAAGAGATATTTTTTTTATATCTTAATGATAATTTGGATAATTATAATTGTAATACGAGGATTAATTAAACACATAATATATTTATTTAACATTGCTTCCTCTTGTGGTAATATCTTATCTCCTGTATACAATCATTGTTTACTTTATGGATGAAATATTGGCGACGAATTGAACCCACCCGCTTGATTTATCTGTACAGAAATCTAGTTCACATATATATATAGATTGGATAATGACATTGTACTATAAAGAGGGAATATCATCCATGTTATTGTGTGTCGCTTCTTTGTGATTTCACCAGGAGAAATGAAGAAGAGGATTGAGGGACACCTCAGTGCTGAGCTTTCAGTAGTCAAAGCTGGACCTTACTTCATGTCCCATGGCACCTATAGTGAAGACAATGTGTTCAAGATGATTGACAGGACCACATTTGAGACCATAGCCACTTTTTCCCCGGATTATGACGTTAGTTTATCATCCTATAATGTGTTTATTAACATCAAGCATCCAGTTCAAAATATCTCAGACATCTCAAATGGTATACTTTTGTAATTCAGGGTCGGTGGGGTAGCCTAGTGGTTAAAGCGTTCGCTCGTCACGCCGAAGACCCGGGTTCGATTCCCGACATGTGTACAATGTGTTAATGTGTGTTCCCGGGTACAATGTGTTAAGCCCATTTCTGGTGATATTGCTGGAATATTGCTAAAAGCGGCGTAAAACCACACTCACTCATTCACTTTTGTAATTCAGTGTCTGGGTATTGAAATAACATACTAAACCTACATATAATTATGTATGTGTTGAACTGACCTCTATCGTTTCCTTTCTTTTAAACTGTTTACTTCAGATAAAATGTTTTTAATGGTCTGATTTATTCACCCTTCAAGGCTCTCTTCGTGACATTTTGTGTCAATGTCTTCCGTTTCCTCAAGGCAACATGATATATGTAAGGTATAAACTTGATGTAATGCATATGGCCTTGTGTCATACTTTACAGATACGAGATTTAGCTCTCACGGAAGATGGCTACCATGCCGTTGGTTACTTCAGAGAGTTCAACAAACCAGTGCTGTGGAGTCTGGTGGGAGGGCCTGAAGATGACCAACACAGAAAGACGTACAAGCCTTTGTCCAGTTACCCTGACATATATGGAGCGGACAGTAAGTGTGACACACAATGTTATATGCAATCACTGCAGTTGTCATAACCCCTTGTTTTATCGACATGCACAGCGTACGTATCAAGCGAATTCACAGTGTGTGTGTGGGGGGGGGGGGGGGGGGGGTGATTATGGGGTGTGTGTGTGTGTGTGTGTGTGTGTGTGAGAGAGAGAGAGAGAGAGTTTGGTTTAACGCCGCTTTTAACAGTATTCCAGTTATATCGCGGCGTGTCAGCTTAATGTGGGAGGAAAGCCCGAAGTGATGCAGGTCTCAGACGTTTACCACTTCAGTAAAACCCACGAGCACGGGTATGGTGCTGACAAACCTAGAAACATAATCGGTGCGAACCGGGATTCGAACCCATAATCATAGGTTTCTGGCGTGCCCAAGGGACGCAACTCTGCACAGCGTTACCCTTTTGGAAGTCAAGTCTTGACCTTCAGTGTGACGCGCGAACGCCTAAACCTTACCCACTCCCCTAGATTTACAAGACGCTGGATTGTATGATAACCTATTGGTCTTACCTCGTAATCATATATTTGTATGTATGTTTATATGTAACTGACTGAACTTCAAAACAACATTTTGCCAACTGCTTGCATTGTGTCACTACCATAGCTATTCTCTTACCTTATGATTGAATATACGCAGCGGTTCAACTACAACTACAACTGCAAAAGGACACGGATAAGGAGGAAGACCCGGATGACCTTGACAAAGACATCGACGAGGTGGATAGTGACACCGAGGATGACAATGATGACTCCCCAGACAAGAAGGATCTTGACGCAATGTCGTCTATCTCAGGTTTGTCTGATTTGGACCTAAAATCAGGTTGGTCAGATTTGGACTTGGATGCTGATGACTCATGGGACGAAATGGAAAAGCCAGAGAAAAAGACATCAGCCTGAATATCTGACTCAAACTGCTGACAAGCTCTAACAATACAAAAACAGTTACAATGTTAATACTGCAATGTTACAAACCGGAACTTGTTATAGAGTGTATATCAGTTGGGGTGTATGTCAGAGTTCATATCATGTTCTCTAAACACGAGAGAAGAATGATCAATATCGCGTTTCCGATGTTTGTAAGATTCCTTTAAGAATTATACAAATAGGTTATAAAGTCCAACCTACATGAATGTGGGAATCCATTATTATGACTCCTGACGACTGTAGTGTACAGAAATATTAGAAATATCCATTGACATCAGAAATTTGTAAATTCATTCCGTTTGTTCCAATTCAGAGTTGTGATCCATCAGTCCTGTGCTTATTCATTTCAAAAGGTTTGTAGTTTATTGCTGTCGTTAGAACTGTTTATGTATTACAAGACAGTAATAACTATATGTAAACATGCCTTTGTCACTTGTACAGAGGGGAGGTAGGGTAGCCTAGTGGTTAAAGCGTTCGCTCGTCACACCGAAGACCCGGGTTCGATTCCCGACATGGGTACAATCTGTGAAGCCCATTTCTGGTGTCCCCCGCCGTGATATTGCTGGAATATTGCTAAAAGCGGCGTAAAACCATACTCACGCACTCACTTAATTTAAGAGACTTCCGTATTCTTGTCTAAAGTAGAAACTGACAAATAATCAGGAACATGATATAACTGCCTGTATACTTCTCCCTGAATATAGAAGCTATATTTTGCTACATTATCGATGTGTATTATTCGTGAATTGATTGTTTTCAGGTTCATATTCATCATATCGCTCACCAAAAAAGACTGTGATACATGTCTCTTTACATTATATTTTACGTCAGGAATAAAATCATTGAATATAACCGCTTTTGTATGTCTTGCATTTACTGAATAATAAATCTGAAGACGGAAACCCGATGACAGTTCCATGGCAAGGTGTAGGCGAATGGTGCAGCTTCAGCGAACCTCCTTGCTTGAGCCCTTCAATGCTTCAATGAATGAGTGTTGTTTTACACCATAGTCATCAATAGTCCAGTTACGTCACAGCGGTCACATCACAATCGTGTCTGGACCAGTGGCCATGATCTGCGTGTCACGTGTTGGTACTTCTTTGGCAATGATAGCGATTTAAAACATGTGTTTACCTTTTTTTCGTTTTTCTACGTTTTTCGTGAACAACAGGTGTCGTCACTGACTTTCAGTGATCCAGATATAATTTCGGTCTTTTTCCTGTTTCGGCCTCTTGTGTTGACGTTATATCTTTACCTGGCATCGATTGTTTTTCCATTGCAATGTCGAGGCAGGTTGTCCCGGCCGTCTTCGATATAAGGCAGTATGCATGAGACACGTTAGACCACTGGATACCTGTCCATTGGATAGACCGTGTGCCCGAAGATCGGAAGGTCGTAGGTTCGATCCGGCCGCGTCATACCAAAAGGCCTTAAAAGATGGTACGTGTTGCTACCCTGCCTGGCGCTCGGCATTAAGGGCTAGAACTGCGGCGTGATATCTCAGTGGGCTAGCACTATAAAATCGACATTAGTCGGGACTAGTACAAGCGGGCACACACACACACACACACACACACACACACACACACACGTGCATGTACGTCATTATTTTAAGTGCAATAACCTTGAACGCCTCACCTGTGTTCAAATGTTCTTAATTACACGTTTCTCATACCGATAAAACGAAGTAGCGTGTCCTCTTCATTCAGACATTTTCGCTGGGCGTTGTATCACAATCCATTGCGTGGGATTTATGGCTTCATTGCCCAACCCGCACCAGGCACCAGTATATGTGAGGCAGACAGTGTAGTGTTTGTATAGCGGACTGTAGGGTACTGTGTGGGCCTGTCCTCGTCTGGTCTACACTTCATATCGCCTACACTACTATCAAAACAAATTTATGGATGAGTGCACATCGCATTTGTACCCTTATCCCTTAAGTAAAATTAACTCTTCCAAAAAGATAACAAAGAATGTAAATGACTTTTGATACTGTATACGTAATTTCGTTTTGTACATGAGATCATCTTCACAACTCAAATGGTTTCACAACATCAAATATCATAAATACACATTTATTATTATAGAACTGTACATTTATATCCATCATCTTCATGTTTTATAACATTAGTACTACATCATTACTAGCAACATTACTGTAATTTGATGAAATGTCCAACTGCATCCAGGAACTGGATCACTGATCTTCAGTCTCTCGATCCTTGCATCTCTGTCTCGGTCTCTGTCAATACGAGCACGAGGTCTCATGGCACCACCCAGTCCAATCTGCCTTCTTGACCGTCTATCTGCTGTCTCGATCTTTTTGAGTTCTTTGACAAACTGGAAGATGTTGGGATGGGCTCCCGGCATTCTCTTCTTTAGGCCGTTGTGGAAACCTTCAAGATGGTTGTTGGAGCGTGGACCGGTGTTCTCGTGTTGATTCCACAGGGCTCGAGGGAACGTGGCATTGAAGTCCGCCCATGTGCTGGTGACGTAGTCGTTGAACCTGGTGATCTGCTGCCCATCTGGTCCTTGCTCCATCACTTCAATCCAGGCATCTTGGACTTCAGCTAGGGGTAGAAGAAGCATCAAAGTGGATTATAACAGTAATCCTGTATAAACAGTCAAAACAAACACAAGGATCTGATACCAGATCAGAAACATCGGATTAGTTCAAAGGCCCATGTACTTAATTCATATTAATGAATGAAATCATTAATGGGTTAATGGACAGTACCATTCTACACAACAGGAGTGCGGAAGTAACCATTTGTATTTAGTGAAGGCCATATGAGGTGTAGGCGATATAAGGTGTAGGCCATATGAGGTGTAGGCGATATTAGGTGTAGGCCAGATGAGGTGTAGGCGATATAAGGTGTAGGCCAGATGAGGTGTAGGCCATATGAGGTGTAGGCGATATAAGGTGTAGGCCATATGAGGTGTAGGCGATATTAGGTGTAGGCCATATGAGGTGTAGGCGATATTAGGTGTAGGCCATATGAGGTGTAGGCGATATTAGGTGTACTGTGTGTGGCGGGGTAGGCAGTCGACGTGCGTGGACAATGGATGTTTCTTGACGTTACAGGATTTGGGCGCCTTTGAGATCAGTATCAGCTCACTGTGAAGGCATCGGTAACACGCACGACATCATGCAGAGACCTTCAGAAACGTTGTACATTATAAAGAATTTGACATTTGGGTTACGAATGCTTATTGTAAACAAGTATGACAGGTTGGCACTTAAGGAAGAGAATATATGGATGTCAACTTCTATAATATGAGGAACACAACGTTTCAGAGTACTTGCTTACTCCACCATTCGCCTGTTAAAGGAGTAAGCATGTACTCTGAAACGTTGTGTTCCTCATAATAAAGAAGTTGACACCAATAAATTCTCTTCCTTATGTGTATCACTTCTAAACGCCTTTCAAAGACCTGGTTGACACTTGTATTGACTTATTATAGATTCTCCTTTTGGATTTTTCGTTGTATATTTTAGATCCCTATGAAGATCCGGGTTAGAATTGGTCCTCAGAAACACATGCGTGTCATGAGGGGCGAATAACGGGATCGATTGGTCAGACTCGCTGATTTAGTTGATGCATGTCATCGTATGCGAAATGTGTAGATCGATGCTCATGATGTCAATCACTGAATAGTCTGGTCTGGTCCAAACCACCGTTTTATAGCTGGAATATTTGATGAGTGCGACGTTAAACAACAAAGAAAACAAATTTTATTTTTGCACCCGAACATATAATACCCAAATGCAGTAAACTACGGTTATAACGAACACGCTTATAACGAACTGACGGATATAACGAACTATTGTTTTGGTTCTGTCTATTTGCTGTATATATTCCGTACATTTGCTTATAACGAACTACGGCTATAATGAATTACAATTAGTGGTCCCTTTGAGTTCGTTATAAACGTAGTTTACTGTGTATGTTATCTTCTGATTAAGCGATGCTCTCTGACATCAATCGTTTTTAATCATCCTTGATTTTATTGAGAAGTGTTGGTAATCTTTGTGACAGTGATTTGGTGGTTTGCTGGACCAAGCAATATATCTGCCCTTGTGCTTTTGAATTAAGAACAAAAGTGGAAAGGACATGACGTCAGGTGTTAGAATCGAGTTTAGTTTAAACATATTTTTTTCTCATAAAAAGGACTGGGCACAAGTCATCACAACTTAGAACGTCCTCTCCTATAGATTTGCATGTATGCTTATTTACAGTTAATAAATTAAATGACAGAAAGGAAAGAAAAAAAATAGAGAAACGTATACACATTCGCATTGCTCACTCAAATCTTTTTGGTTTCTTTATAAATGTATGTGCATTCCTAAAAATGCTTTCGTTCGCGTGATTTGATAAAATTGCATTGCCAACAAGCATCAGGTCAATATTTACATCACAAGTATCTTTCACAATACACAATAGTGAGTGCATCAATTCGTTTCTAGCTGATTTAAATAAAGGACATTCAATGAAAAAATAATATAAATTTCCACATGGGCTACCACATCGACATTTTGGATCCTCGTTTAAAACTTATCTTTGCAAAATCTGCTTAAAGCGTTCGCTCGTCACGCCGAAGACCCGGGTTCGAATCCCGACAAGGGTACAATGTGTGAAACCCATTTCTGGTGTCCCCCGCCGTGATATTGCTGGAATATTGCTAAAAGCGGCGTAAAATTATACTCACTTGCTAAATTGTATCTACCTCGATATGTTACATGGTTGTTGTACTGAAAATGTTTCATAGTGTTGTAGATATCTTACAAATACACCCTGTCGTTTCTGAGCGCCATTGCATCTACACCCAAAAGGGTCTCATACTGGGATATATGTGTGTTCTGTGGTGACTTTCTTTTGCTGAGATTAAAGTTTCCGAATCAGTGGTAAAAAAGTGAAGCCGAATCGTTTCAGAAAGATGACATCCGATTGGCGCAAGAACCCACGCAAACGTCATTTACACTGGGCTCACCTGACGCGATCTTCTATGGGTGTGTGCTCAGATCTTCACTGAAAAGTCACCCGTTATCTTTAAAAATTGACTTACCTCATCTCCCTGTTGAGGTGAAATGAAATTGGGTTTAACGTCGTGTCCAAGATTATTGCACTTGTACTAGTCCGGACCGATGGCGATTTATAGTTCTAGCCCACTGAGATACCATGCCGCAGTTTAACATGAAAACCCCACTCAGACACAGTATACTAACTCCGAGCCGACCAGTCCTTGTTTTAGCCCCTTAATGCCGAGCGTCAGACAGGGTAACAATAAGTACCATATTTTAACGTCTTTTCTTAAGACGCGGCCGGGGCTCGAACCCCGGACCTGCCGTTCTCCGGGCGGACGCTCTACCACAAGGCCACAGAGGCGGCCTCTCCCTGTTGAAAACTTATTATGGGTAACATAATATAAGATAGATAAGACTTTATTATCCCAAGGGAAATTCATATTGCACCGTTGATTAGCACTAAAAATATGAAAAACGAGAATATATGACATTAAATTATGTCCATAAGAAAATAAGGCACTTACTAATAAAACCACAGGTAAACATGAAGAACATTGGACATTAACACAGTGAAGACAAGGAATGGTAAAGAAATCAGGGGAAAACTGAGAGCGTTTTCAACCGTGCGTGTCACCACAGCGCAGCCACCAGATTTCAATAACGACCCTACTTATATATAAACTAACTCGGGTGTATTTAACATTATTACAGATTGGTTAAGGGTACAGCAATGGACAGATAATGGATGGATCACTAATAATCTAGTGTCGGCCAAAGTACCAAAACAAACCAGATCAACAATACATAGTCGTTTTGAATATTTTCAGTTATTTTAAGGAAATGCTTCGGAATGTTTTTAATGGATTTTTCCATGGAAATGCAAATAAACACGAACTTATGAAGAGCAAAATACTAAAATGCACTGCACTTTACTAGCTTGTTTGGTGTATCTGTTTTTTTCTGAAGAAAGATTTCACGGTTTTCATGCTGTGTCTTGAGACTCGTGGCAACTTACATCCGCAGTCACCTCAGGAATGAAGAAAATACAAAATGCACGTAGCAAAAGAGACCCGTGAAGGTCCGGGATAGAAAAGGTCTTCAGCACCCCATGCTTGCCGTAGAGGCGACTAACGTGATCGGGTGGTCAGGCTCGCTGACTTGGTTGATGCATGTCATCGGTCCCAATTGCGTGGATCGATGCTCATGAAGTCAATCACTGGATTGTCTGGTCCAGACACGATTATGAGGAAAGGAAAAATGTGACAGACCTGTCAGCACTGTTTTATTCAAGACAAGTAAATCGCTTAACTTTCCTGATATCAACATCTTCAGAAGATCGTGTTCATGCAGAGTTTATTCCCACACGCCCAGCAAAGTTGGCAACGGAATCTGTGTATTCCATGGCAGAAATATTCAAGTTTCGTTATCGTTATCGTTCTTTAAATTGGAGTACTCTCTTTAAAAACATACCTGAAAAAGATGTGAAGATAACCCAACTAATATCTATGTTAAATTAATAGTATAACTCATATGGTTGGCTTAATAAGGTTTATAATATACTTCATCTCTGTTGATAAAGTGAAGTTTTCCATAACACACTTGACTTTAACGCTTACATCTTTTTTTGTAAATATAAACAACTTTTATGATCACAGAAATTAAGGGTACTGGAAAAATTACAAAAATTAATTAAACAGTAAATTTACACAATTCATATTTGAAACTGTAAACACGAAATAGTTCTACATGTTTACCGTCATACCATCTTGTCGTGCGTTTTGTGTGACACAACTATGTAAAATATGCTCTTGATCCAGCGTGGGTTGTTCTTAGAGAACGGTGATTGATTGATTGATTGATTGATTGATTGATTGATTGATTGATTAAAGGAAACCAGTTGTCGGGCGCACAACTAATATATTTCGTGGATGGGGAATGGCTAATTTGTTCATAAAAGAAAAATAATGGTGATATGTGTTAAAATATGTGTTAACTTGTTAAATATATATTTGGTGCAAAAGCAAACTGTAGATGTTTTATTATAGGAGATATAGATTGTGAAAGAAAAATACATATTATATTCAAAGATGGGGCGCCAATCACCACATATTCATTATTGTCTTACACCCAAAATAAAACTCTAAATAGGTAGATGCCAAGCGGTTATCACACATAGCTAGCTTGTCACCGATACGACTGATTAGATCTACCGCATGCGTGCACCAATTCAACAGTGTTGGGCGACAGTTGAAAGGATGCAGGCTAAAACTGCACTGTCACAGCAAAACGGCACCGTTTTCATCTTGCGAAAACGGATACGGATGTGCAGGTCAAGCGAAATATATTTCCACCATATATTTATAATAGCGAATTTGTGACCTAGAATGTGGACTCTTCAATCGTGGCTGTACATCCCATGATATAAATAAACTTTGCCAGGTCAGTATCTGGTCTCTGGGTCACTCGAAAATATCCTCCGCTGTATGGGTTATATATAGACCTATGTAGTTTTTATAATTTACAAATATTGTATTTTTTCCAGTCACGTGAACATAAAAGTAAGGGCAGTTACATTGTGATACACTTCCGCTAAGAGATAGCGTGTGTTTGCCTTGAAAATAGCGACGATCGTTTGCCGGAAGAGACCGTTTGTTTGGACCCGGAAATTATAAAGGGCAGATAACTCTAATTTCACCCTGAGGTAGTGTCAAATTTTATGTAACTCTGGATTTCGGGCTTTGGAAGACGGGGCAGGTGAATATATTTTGTTATAACCCTAGTTGTTGTGTACTTCATGGTATCTTAACAATTAAAGACGTAACCATGGTAAACAGCAGTCACGATTACCTGAATAATGTTTAGACACAAGATGACACGGCTTTTTTACCGGTAGACACGGCCATGCTGACAGTGCATTGTGAATGGTATCGCCAGTAATGAGAGTTTGTATGTGTGAGATAATGTCGCGATAAACCTACTGACTTTGGAATCCTGTTGAACAACGTAGAGCTTGATCTAGACTGAGTATACCCGACACTCATGATAACTGATGACACACAAGTCGCTAGAATATTCGACCCCGGGTTCAAAAAGTGAGAACACACGCCTCTTTCAGATCCACTGACCCTAGTCAATAATGATGAAACGGTACCTATTCTTAGAAAATGACTATTTAAGTTCTACGTCAGCATAAAGGTTTCATTTGGAAAACAACTGCTGTGCTTGAAGGTAAGTGTTGTACATTTAGCTTTCTTAGTTCATTCAAACTGAGTGAAATATCGACCCATATTAATCAGTATAAGAAAACAAGGTATTTTATGCAGGAGTCGAAAGCCTTTGAGAATGCTTAGACGTCTCTGTAGACTATACGGATGAAATATTGCAGAGGCTGAGTTATATATGAAAGTTCATTTAGTGTACACATTGCTTGATTCAGTCAGGTAAATGAATCATTTAAAGCATCTTATATTGAATCATTTCAGTCATGTGGGAACTGTGGTTGTTCTGCATCGGTTGCCTGTCATTGTACCTGGTGCTATGGTTACTGCCTTGCTATATATGTAGAATCTTGATATTTGGAGTCTGTCTCTTAGGGCGTCGTAAGCTGGTGCTTCTTCTTCCAGTTTTGGTCCGATTAGTGTTTTGTTATTGTTTACAAGGGTTGTTTGGTCTGACTAGTGTTTTGTAAATGTTTAGAAGGGTTGTTTGGGTCTGACTAGTGTTTTGTAAATGTTTAGAAGGGTTGTATGGTCCCACTAGTGTTTTGTAAATGTTTAGAAGGGTTGTATGGTCCCACTAGTGTTTTGTAAATGTTTAGAAGGGTTGTATGGTCCCAATAGTGTTTTGTAAATGTTTAGAAGGGTTGTATGGTCCCACTAATGTTTTGTAAATGTTTAGAAGGGTTGTATGGTCCCAATAGTGTTTTGTAAATGTTTAGAAGGGTTGTATGGTCCCAATAGTGTTTTGTAAATGTTTAGAAGGGTTGTATGGTCCCAATAGTGTTTTGTAAATGTTTAGAAGGGTTGTATGGTCCCACTAGTGTTTTGTAAATGTTTAGAAGGGTTGTATGGTCCCACTAATGTTTTGTAAATGTTTAGAAGGGTTGTATGGTCCCAATAGTGTTTTGTAAATGTTTAGAAGGGTTGTATGGTCCCACTAATGTTTTGTAAATGTTTAGAAGGGTTGTATGGTCCCACTAGTGTTTTGTAAATGTTTAGAAGGGTTGTATGGTCCCACTAATGTTTTGTAAATGTTTAGAAGGGTTGTATGGTCCCAATAGTGTTTTGTAAATGTTTAGAAGGGTTGTATGGTCCCACTAGTGTTTTGTAAATGTTTAGAAGGGTTGTATGGTCCCACTAGTGTTTTGTAAATGTTTAGAAGGGTTGTATGGTCCGCTGGTCGGTGCTATGAATGCTGCACATTAGGTTTATTTTGTTGTTGCATTTACCAATATTGTGTTTAATGTGTTGAGAGAAAGTCGCATAATTCATGTACTGCTGACCCTGAATTCTGGTGTGGTTGATTAGGTTGTTTACTAATAATCGGATGGACACCTACACTGTGTATATGAGATTAACACCATATAAATTAAGGGGCCATTTTCACCAATCTTTTGGGGCTGTTTTTACTTTTGGACATTTTGGCATGGGTCTGTTTTACTCAATTTATTTAACAGATTTACTGATATTCTTCACTAAGTAGGATTACATATTGTTTATTTTTTGTATCAGCTGACAAATACATTTTAAATGAAGTAACAATATACGTGATGAAAATGGTGAGAAAAAACTGTAAAAAACTCAAATCGAATTCTATGTTTTCCTAAGTTTTTATGCCAGCAAAAAGTTGTGACAGTGAAATGTTTTACGGTCATTTGACGTTAACATAGACTGTAACATGTAATACGTAAATACACGCGATCCGCAAGTGTCAAAACAGTGGTGTCACCCTGGACGTGTGACTTTGTTCAAATATGCCTCTTGGTTGTGCAGCAGGGAATGGGTATCCGATATGTGAGGTGGGTGTGAAAACCATCAATTACCCCTAGTACTTGTAGGCAGCTTGGGTTGTATACTCCCCTCGGAGTCGAGAATGCTGACTGAAATGCATACGGTCAGGGAACAAATAAATGGTATTTGAGCAGATACTAGTATCTGGATAAGTGTAGTAAATAATAATGATGATGATGATGATGATGATCCTGCAGTCTGAAGAGTCCTTCACTTGGATGAAGTCAGCTGGCCCGAAAAGTGAAACATATCAAATAAATTAGGTCTAGTTGCCACAAACTGAATATTTGTATTGATAGGCTTGTAGGTCGGCGTTAGTATGTTTGACCAAATACTATCATCATGTATGAGATAACAGAGTGCTATCTTGTTTGTGATCGTGTAGGTAATTACAGGGACATGACAAGCAAGTGAGCCATATGGTATTGATTGTGGCATTTGTGTACCGGGTACTGTATAAACAATTCTTTGATAAGACAATTTGGCTTTATATCTACAGGAGGGTTATGATGATTGACTTTGTGTACCGGTATGTATAACGTGTATAATGGTTCGTGTGTGTAATAATCTATTGGTTGTACTACTAACAAACATGCTGACCTGCTTTGGACGGCATTAGGTTTTGGGGGAATACAAATAACATTTTAAAAGTTAACTATTCTGATTTTTATTGGTCTAAATATCGAAATTTGATACAAACCACTGATAAACTGGCCAGTAGGAGGGACACAGAAGGGACATGACCTGTAATAGCCACGGTGTAGCAACTGGTGGCCCCACGATCGAGCCTGGAAGTTGCAGCCTGGTTCGGCAAGGGTGGAAACTGGACTTTTATAGTCAGTTAACTCCCTTCCTTCATGAAGATGCTCTGTACTGGGCCTTTAGTTGATGGGGTGGTGGGGTAGCCAAGTGGTTATTGTGTTCAATATAATCGTGCCAAAGATCTGGGTTCGATTCTCCAATTGCTTACTGTTTGAAGCCAGTTCTTAGTGTCCTCCACTGTCGTGATATTATGACATGGGGCGTTGCTAAAACCTGACTTCATTATTATTATTATTATTATTATTATTATTATTATTATTACATTATTTATTATTATCATTATTTATTATTATCATTATTATTATTAATACATTATTTTTATCATTATTATCATTATTATTATTATTATTATTATTATAACCACTACTACTACTACTACTACTTCTACTACTACTACTACTACTACTACTACTACTACATTTATTACAGGTATAACTACTACTACTACTACATTTATTACAGGTACCTGTAAGGAAGAGTAAGTCATCAAGACCCAGTTCTAATCCAGAATTGCAGCGTCATTCATCCACCTTGCACCATGACAGACAGGCGGGGCTCATCGTTAAACAACCCAGATTACAGTCCCAAGAAAACCCTGATTCCAAACGGCGATGTTGAAGTCGTTGTCATATCTGAGCCCGACGCCAAGGCTCATTACCAAACATGGTACTCTCTGCCAACACTGCGATTTGTCAACGTGGTCCAGGCTGTTGTCTTGGTGGACGCGGTGCTGTCCATTATTCTGTGGTTGACAGGTAAACATGGGACGAAATGATTACATGCACATCAGCTTGCAGGGGTAGGGGACAGGTTGTCTAAGGCGCCACATGTGCAGAGTTGCCTCCCTTGGGCAATCTATGATCCTGTGATTGTGGGTTTGAATTAGATTTGATCATTACTTTCTCAGCACAATATTCTTGCACAGAAGTTTCACCAAAGTGGTAAACATGGTAAACATCTAAGACCTGTATCACTAAGGGGCCATTTTATGCCTTCTTACCACACTACTAAAGATCAAACGGCTCATATTTTCGTCACCACTCGCCCCTTTCTGTAACCTGCAAGCAGACTCATCCCTCTATCAATGAAGGTTATGTGCGAAAATACGACTACCGATAACCAATCAGAATGGGCATATGACTTCAAGTACTTCAGTCAAAGAATCCCTTAGGAATAACTTTGATTTTACATATATCTTGCATTTAAGAATATTCCCAAGATACAGTTAAATGTGTTCAATCATACTGTATGATACTGTAAGTACCGATGATTTTTCAATAACATCTGAAATGTATAGGATATATGGGGGAAATATATGTGAATCAGTAGGTAACGAGTTGGCAATTCTTTTAGCTATGCCCGTTTGCTCTTTGACGGAACCCAGTCACATAAATGGCCATGAGAGGGGCACGATTCGCTATTCTACTTGTCCTGGAATAACACGAGTTGGTCACACATTACCACTTTAATGGGATGCATCAAGTGAAACTGGATTGACCTTTGACTGCCCAATCTTAAGAGCCAATCAGATGGCAGCTTTCTAAGACAATTCAGTTTCATTTCTCTACCATCCCAATTCAAATTTAACACCAAAAAAACCTGCCCGGAGACAAGTATTCCTTTGATGGCTCCCCTTTCTGGTGTAGATGCCAGTGGTCTCAGAAACAACAGGGTGTTGAAAGTGGCCTCGACAATAGAATTGCAGGGCTTCAGCATTTGGAGATGTCGTTTTAGCTCTTTTTCAAGATACAGAAATCAGATATGCCTTCAATCTGAATGCTTCGCTCACTTGTACCAAAAATTTAGAACGTGTAGAAGCCTTGACCCTGATTGGCTGATTAGAAAGGTCACCTGAATTGACCTTCCGTGGAAATGTGCTCAGATCTTTATGCATTGAGGTGTCTGTCATACTGGAGTACAATCTGATTTGAATGAGATTGTAAAACATAATTGAATATTTTGTCAATATTGATTTGATTACATAAAAAGAATATTTTTCTTCAAACACAGCTTTATTGGAGTTTTTTTATCATGTTATGGGTTTTGACGGAAATTTTCATTTAATTTTTCAGGAGGAACATCTAGTTACTTTGTTGACAACATTCTGAGGTTTCATCTGAGGCAATCTGTGTTTGACCTCGCCATTATTGCCACTTGTAAAGCCTTGTTCCTGGTCCCATTCTACAGACTCCTAGAAGAATCATTTTATAATCAGATTCAGCACCCATTCCAGCAGAAATTCCGCAGAAATGCGCGAGTGTTTCACATATTGGTCGTGTTCCTCTCCTTTGCGTTCCTGGCGTTCTCGGCCACCAAAGGGGGACTGGTGCTGTACTCCATCTTGCAGGACCCCTCCTACCCTGGGATGCACTCCACGTACTATGCCCTCGTGGTCAGCGCCGCCTGTTTCAGCCTCCTGGAGTTCTTCATGTGTCTGTGGAGTTTTGTGGCGCTGCGGAAGCTGGAGTCTATCCGTGTCATGCACAGAGTCAACGCAAAGGGGGAGGAACTGGATGAAGAAGGGAAACCGATCGAGAAAGCTGTGGATCTTAAACGACTCATGACGTTAGCGAAACCGGTAGGTATCTATGTGGCTGTCATATGCCATGAATTGACCAGATCGTTGCATTGTTATATAGGATCAGTGATGAATTGTCATATATGTCATGGTACATTGAGCATCCACTTGGTGAATGGAATCTGAAGCATTATAACATAAGTCGTAGCAGGATCACTGTTCTAATGCATCCCTCTTTAGTTTTTATGCCACTCGCCGTCGGCTCAAATTTATCTTACCGACATGTTTTAAAATGGCATTTTAAAAAAATTATTACAAATTCAAAATTGATAGAAAACAGCTGTTCCATTGAGTGGGGGTTAGCTTGTGATATATCACAAGGCTTTCATTGAAAAGGGTCGGGTTTTTGCTTGGAAGCAGGGTATAAGGGATTTATTCTGCCTCTCAGAAATCCACCTGCAGCCTGCCTTGCTCATGGCGGGATATAAGAGATTTATTCCCCTGCTGAGAAATTTAATTCCCTCCAAGGCAGGATACATTGTATTTATCACGATCATGTTAACCAATCACATCTCATCATTCTGACATAAAATTAAGATAAATGGACTTATTATAATGATAATATCACTTTATGATATTACTAGTCATGCTGATCCTTAGACAAGAACGAGAATTATTTATGACAATTATAAGTCATGTGGTCAGTCATCACTTGCTGGTCTATGTTGCAGGAAGCGGGACTTCTTACTGTTGGGATTGTAGCTCTGCTGGGGTCCAGTGCGGCCAGCATGGTAGGACCCCTGTTCTTTGGGAAGGTGGTCGATGCTGCCCAGAAGAGTATGGGTAAGTAGGGCTGTGATGATTCACTGAAGCTTGCTGCATCATGACATTCCTGTGCCAGGATTTTAGCCAAAGCAAAGTGATGTTTGTTTGTTTGTTGTAGAATAGGTCTTCAGCAACCCATGCTTGCCGTAAAAGGCGACTATGCTTGTTGTAAAAGGTGATGACCGGGATCTGGTGGTCAGGCTCGCAGACTTGGTTGATGCATGTCATTGTATCCCAACTGGGTGGATCGATGCTCATGATGTCAACCACTGGATTGTCTAGTCCAGACTCAATTATTTACAGTCCTCCGTCATATAGCTGGAATAGTGCAGAGTTCAGTGGTAAACAACAAACAAATGATAACAGAATTGGGATGCTAGATTCTGTAGGAGTGTGTTGTTGTTTGCAGATGACCTCAACAGGACTGTGTTGATTCTGCTGGGGGTCTTCATAGGAGGAGCTATAGCCGGCATGATCAGGGCGTGGTTCTTTGTCCTGGCAGGGCAGAAACTGGTGGCCAGACTTAGGAAAGAGCTGTTTGGATCAGTTATTAGACAAGAAGTTGCGTTCTTTGATCAAAACAGGTGAATGAGTCTTCAGTTATTATGTTTGTATAAATCAAAGTGGTTCTTCTATCAACTGGAATGTATTTTGCCTTGCCTTTATTTTGTTATTTGGGATATTTTAGTTTTTTTCTTCAGAGAAGGGGCGGGTAGCCTAGTGGTTAAAGCGTTCGCTCGTCACGCCGAAGACCCGGGTTCGATTCCCAACATGGGTACAATGTGTGAAGCCCATTTCTGGCGTCCCCTGCCGGGATATTGCTGGAATATTGCTAAAAGCAGCGTAAAACCATACTCACTCACTCACTCTTCAGAGAAGAAAGTTAAATGTGCGAATCGTTTTGTTTGGTGTAGAATATTTGTACAGTTGTTTAAAGGATGTTTTGATATTTATATTGTCTAGTAGACATGTTTGTCATTGTGTGTTCTAATGTTACATAATCTCATAAAAGTTTTGGATGTTAGACAAAATACCCACATAACTGGAAAAGTGGTTCAGGCAAATGGCAGTTCCAACAAGATGTCATCATGTCATCTGTAAACAACTGTTATGTTTTACTGTTATTTATCTTAACACTGAACACCATAGAGATAATTAAAACAGGGCAATAAATAGAGGATATCATGTTCGTGTTAATGTCATACTATGTTTACGACACAAGCGTCTAAATACCGGAATTTAGGCATGAGTGTTATAAACAGAGTATGACATGAACACGAATATAATGTTCTATTTATTACCAGAAGATGTCTACATACAGAGACGAATTTTAGTGTTTACCTATAAGTACAGCAAGTCGCAACAGCAGTTGAACTACAACTTGTCATCAACAATCTTCAGCTGTGACATCGTTACTAGTGACACGTCATTCCGACCTCAAGTCACAATAAGATTCGAATGACGTCAACCATGCCGTTAGGATGATGGAAACAATACACTGTTGTCTCGTGACATGATATGATTTTTATGAACCCTGATATGTTTGCCCTTGTAGGTCATTAAACAGGACATTTTCTAGTCTGAGCCTGGATTTGGTCATTGAGTCCAAGACAGGAGCAGTGTCTGTGTTATCATGCTTGTCATTACCTTATAATACCAAACATACAACCTGCAAAAATAGTGTTGTTTTTATATGTATTTTGAACATACAAGTGACAATAAAAAAATTATACCCTTGATTTCTTAGAATTATCTTATTGAGTTATTTAGAAAATATAATCTGCTTCTATGGCACTGTAACCATGGTAACATGCTGGAGGAGCAAGACAATGTCAGAGAAACCTGTATTTGGTACATTTTCAATTATTATCATCATAAAAATCAATCATTGAATCATTGAATCCTTGACTGATTTCAGAACTGGAGAGTTGTGTAACCGACTTTCTTCTGACACTCAGGTGCTCCAGAACTGTCTGACAGTGAGTATGTCCTAATGTGTCGATTTGGCCAAGTGTTTTCTTTTTGGGTTTTATGGATTTTGATAGTGAAATCTTGATGTTTGATTTGGTAAGGTGATAATACGAAAATGGCGATATATTGTCAAATAACTTTTCCCTTGGCGGTATAGATAAAAATTGTCATTCTGATTTCTTTTTCTTCTTAATTTTTTATTTTTAAGTTCAGCCAAAAAAATGTAAGGTCTTATTCAAACATATGTCATTGGGAGCCGAGTGGTCTCAGGTGTTGCAACTCAGACATGCACCACACTTGCCTCCTGCCCGGACAGGAACCAATCAACCCCCATATGTCCTGACAGGGGCAAGAAATGCCCAGTCATCTGAGGCGCCACAATGCTCTGTACAGAAACCCCCATACGTGCCGACAGGGGCAAAATGGCCCAGTCATCTGAGGTGCCACAATGCTCTGTACAGAAACCCCCATATGTCGTGACAGGGGCAAAATGGCCCAGTCATCTGAGGCGCCACAATGCTCTGTACAGAAACCCCCACATGTTGTGACAGGGGCAAGAATGGCTCAGTTATCTGAGGTGCCTCAATTCTCTGTACAGAAACCCCCACATGTCGTGACAGGGGCAAAAATGGCCCAGTCATCTGAGGCGCCACAATGCTCTGTACAGAAACCCCCATATGTCGTGACAGGGGCAAAAATGGCCCAGTCATATGAGGTTCCATAATTTTCTGTTCGTACCTGTGTCCCTCAGGCGTGCCAGAAACCTGTTATGGTGGGTTCAAATCCAAGACCTGCCATGATTGTGATCCTGAATTTGTCAGCACCATACTCGGCTGGTGGCTTTCACTAAATTAGTGAACATCTACACGTTTTCTCCCACACTGGTTTGACACATGTGGATATAAATGAATATTGTTCAACATGTTCAAGCCAATAACTCAAGTGTCACATGACATCATTTGTTGCAGTAACATACTTTGCACATTGAAATTTCTATTCGAACCTTGAACAATAGGAAAAAATTATCTTTGAATTATATTTTGTATGATGATTATGTATGTTGAGCTGGTTTATCTAATCGTCTGTTTCAGGTGAATGTGTCCATGTTGTCGAGGTATTTGCTGCAGATCATTGGCTCGCTGGCTCTCATGTTTGTGTTGAACCCATCTCTCACAGGCGTCCTCCTGGCAGTGGTGCCGGTCGTGGCCATCGGCGCCGTCCAGTATGGTAAGTGCAGCAGAGTGGGAGTTGGGTGTCACTTTGTTTGTTTGTTTGTTTGTTTGTTTGTTTGTTTGTTTGTTAGTCAAAGGCTCGCATATTATATTTACAATATGGAAACATTCGACAAATAATCCCTGTATCCCTAGATAATGATTTATCATCCAAAAGTGGCTACTACGGAGACATTGCATGGGTGAGATCAAGCCTTATTTCCTAGGAGATACCACGACATCACAGTGCTTGCAGACCCTTGTGACATCATTATTACCATGACATCACAATCAAATTACATCACTAATCTATCTATCTAATCTGAAGCTGTTTAGCTGCACTTATTTCACACTCAAGACATTTACAAATTGTAAAAAGAGTGATGTTGGATAACAAAAAGAGTCTCCCCGATGTGCCTTTTGATATCAGATGAATCAACACTCATCGATAAAAGTTTAAAATTCCTTGACAAGCCTCAGAGTTTTAAACATGTATCGACTCTTGTTTAACTGTTGATATATTTGACAACAAAAGACACACGGGCGAGATTCTCTTTGTCTGTGTCAAGGATGATCAATTGACTATATTGGCGTTGTTTTGTCATGCAGGAAAGTACATGAAGAAGTTACGCAAAGACTTCCAGGATCGGTTAGCTGATGCAGGAACGCAAGCTGAGGAGGCGCTGTCCAGTCTGCGAACTGTCCGAATGTTCGTTGGAGAGCGGAAGGCTCTGGATGAGTATTCGGCCGAGATCAACAAGAGTTACAGAGTTGGCAAGAAGCTTGCACTTGGTCAAGGTAGATAGACAGAACCCAGTGTCGGATGCCAAATTGTTGAAATTAAGATATCCATTTCGTCAGTCTGCTCCTGTTTGAATGTAGACTCACAGTGATAATGTTTGAAGAGACATTTGTACATATCACTGTGTCACAGTGAAGATCGACCCGTGAAGATCCGGGGTAGAATATGTCTTCAGCAACCCATGCTTGCCATAGAAGGCGACAATGCTTGTCTTAAGAGGCGACTAAGGGGATCGGGTGGTCAGGCTCGCTAACTTGGTTGATGAATGTCATCGATCTCATTGCGTGGATTGATGCTCATGATGTCAATCATTGGATTGTCTGGTCCAGACACGATTATTTACAGACCACCGTCATAAAGCTGTAATATTGCTGAGTGAGGCGTTAAACAAAAAACAAACAAACAAACAGTGAAGATCAGGGTTAGAATTGGCCTTCAGCAACCCATGCTTGCCGTAAGAAATGTCTAAAGGGATCGGGTGGTCGGGTGGTCAGACTCGCTGATGTTTGTTTGTTTGTTGTAGAATAGGTCTTCAGCAATCCATGCTTGCCGTAAAAGGCGACTATGCTTGTTGTAAAAGGTGACGACCGGGATCTGGTGGTCAGGCTCGCTGACTTGGTTGATGCATGTCTTCATATCCCTTTGCGTAAATCAATGTTCTTGATGTCAATCACCCTATAGTCTGGTCAAGACTTGATTATTTACATGCTGGCGTCATATAGCTGGAATATTGCTGTGTGCTGCGTTAAACATCAAACAAACAAACAAACAAACAAAAGTCACTGTGACATTAGTTTTATCTGTTTGAGTACTTCACCTGTTTCTGTAGATAACTATAAGTCTCTTTTTGTTAGCTGTCTCAAATCTTGAGTTTTGGCTTAGTGGTCTTTCTGTTAATGAGTGACATCATTTCTAAATATACACACTGTGTTCCAGGCACGTTTGAAGGTGTTATTGGGATTGTGGCCCAGGCCGCGGTAGTCACAGTGCTGTGGTACGGGGGCAAGCTGGTGTACGAAAACTCACAAGACACTACACAAGGGATCACTCCAGGCATTCTCACTTGTAAGTACAACCTAGCAATAGTCAGGGTTGGGTATCTGGTTACAGACCTCTCTTGGAATGTTCCCTGTGAGCAGACGTCAATTGTCAATGAGCAGAAGTTGAATACAAGGTGAGGTGAAATGGTGTTTAACGTCACATCCAAGATTATTGCACTTATATAGTGATTCCCTAATATGCCAATTTTATAGTGCTAGCCCACCTAGATACTATGCCATAGTTTAACATGAATACCCCATTCAGACATGGTATACTGACTCCAAACCTACCAGCGCCAGGCAGGGTAACAACAAGTACTGGCTTTTCACGACTTTTGGTATGACACGGAGGGGTTCAAACCCCAGACCTTCCACACTTTGGGCAGACTCTCTACCACTAGACCATGGAGTCTGTAGTTGAATACAATGTTGACTTGGCTGATGTGATGTTCCCAATGGCAGGATGTTTTGCTCATGCCGTCAACCACTAGTTTGCCAGTCTCAGACTTGATTATTTACAGTCATATAATATAGCTGTGATATTGTTGTCCAAAGCATAACATAAGTTCCATTGGTTTTGGTTTCATTTTGTCGTGACCTTTCCAGCAAGGTCAGGATACCATTTTTCACCATTATGCTTCAAATTCCTCCCAGCTCCATATGAAGGTTACTGAGTTTCTCTTGCAGCCTTCTTGTTGTACACGTTACAAGTTGCCATGGCGTTTGCACTCCTATCCTCCCTGTACGGAGACTTCATGCAGGTGAGATGTTCATTAAAATAATTTGAATTTGAATTGGAGTTTTTAAGTTGAACTCCATTTACAAATAATATTTACTCAAACGCCACCTTCTCCTTATGTTAACCCGATGGCGGCAACATTGGTCACGGAGAGTAGTTTGATGGGTGACTACGTTCAACAACGTGATTTCTCAGAGTTTCTAGGGCTTTATCCCTGCACCTTGTGCTGTCCTTATACTAGGCAAGTGACTTTGTTTGAAATATGCTTTTGTTCACCCAGCAGTGAATGGGTACCCGGTAGGATGAGATGTGAATGTGACTGTTAACCATCTAGTGTCTCACAGGCAGATTCTCTGGGGAGTATACAATTCAAGCTGCCTGTGAGGCGCTAGGCAGTTAAGTGCCACTTTACCATCTCAATCCACCCGGTACCCGTTCACTGCTGGGTGAACAGAGTTGTGTACCATAAATGATGCATGTTGAATTAAGTGTATAACAATATAAATATAACGCTTGATAAAGTGCAGGGGGCACGGGTGGCCCAGTCGTCTAAGGCGCTGTGCAGAGTTGCGTGCCTTGGGCACGCCAGAAACCTATGATTGTGGGTTCGAATCCCGGTTCACCCCAATTATGTTTCTAGGTTTGTCAGCACCATACCCGTGCTCGTGGGTTTCACCGAAGTGGTAAACATCTGAGACGTGCATCACTTCGGGCTTTCCTCCCACATTAAGCTGACACGCCGTGATATAACTGGAATGCTGTTAAAAGCGGCGTTAAACCCAACTCACTCACACTCACTGATAAAGTGCACGACTCAACTCTGAATGACGAATAACTTACACAAATACTATATAAATTCAGTTATGGTGTTATGACGTTGTGACATTATTGTCCAGGCGGTTGGTGCCTCAGCAAGAATCTTCAAGTTGATGGATCGTCTCCCTGAAGTCCCATACGAGGGGGGAGCAGTGCCCTTGACCTTCGATGGAGGTGAGGCCTAGGCGATTAACCATCTTTGATTGGAATTTTGATTTGATATATTGGATATGATTTGAAACTCTTGATCTGCCAATCAAATTCAAGTATTCTCAGTGGTAGATATGAGATTAATTGTCTCTGGGTCTTGTTTCGTATCATAAATAATTGTTTTATTTATATTTGTTTGGTTGATTCTTGATAGTAAAAATGTGGTATATGACATGTGTTTTTTGTTTCAGAGGTTGAGTTTGATTGTGTGCACTTCACCTACCCGTCTCGAGCTGACACTCCGGTCCTAAAGGTACGGACAAGACTTGGTTATGTTCATTAGCATAGTGTCATAGCGCACAGTTGGATAAGATAAGTTGGTTTAACTGTTAACCTTATAGTGCCTCACGGGTAGCGGGGGCGGTCGGGTAGCCTAGTGGCTAAAGCGTTCGCTCGTCACGCCGAAGACACGGGTTCGATTCCCGACATGGGTACAATGTGTGAAGGCCATTTCTGGTGTCCCCCATCGTAATATTGCTGGAATATTGCTAAAAGCGGCATAAAACCATACTCACTCACTCACTCACTCACTCACTCACAGGAAGCGTGTGTGTATACTCCCCAGGGAGCAGAGAATTATAATGGAGTACACACCCTATCATCTCCTCAACCTACCATGCGGCTGTACATCTGGGTCTGCTCTCGCCTGGATACAGTGTGGTACCCGGTCTTGGTCCTCTCAATCAGTATATTGATGTATTGATAAGTCAGCATTGAACTAAGCTCAATATTAGTTTCATTTATGATGAACTGGGAGGTGGTTACTGCAGAATAAAGCAACATGTTTTCAAGGAAGAGAATTTATGGATGTCAACTTCTATATTATGAGAAACACGACGTTTGGGAGTATATGCTCACTCCTTCCTCCATTCACCTGATGAAGGAGGTATATACTCCGAAACGTCTTCCTCATAATAAAGGAGTTGACATCCATAAATTCTCTTCCTTATGTGTATCACTTCTAAATGCCTTTCAAAGACTCAACATTCTTTCACATCTTAATGATATGGTATAACTGGTGATCTTTTCCACAGGAGTTGTCTTTCAAAGTTCATACCGGCCAGATGGTGGCGCTAGTAGGACCGTCAGGGGGAGGTAAATCTACCATCGTCAGTCTCATTGAACGCTTCTATGATCCAGACAGTGGCAGGATATTACTGGGTAAGTCTAGAAGCCCCCTGCCAATCACATTCAGGTTAGATTCTGGTGTTTGTGGCCTGCACTAGTGGAAAGCATAAGTAGAAAATGCCTACAGAACCAGCAATATGATGCTCAGTCATTCATCGATCCGTCATCACCATATTGTGGATTCTCTGGATCATTTCTGGTGTTGTTGACGTCACAGGTCCTCGAGAATGGAGGTCGTCTTCAAGACTCCCCCTGCCACGCTTAAACTCAGCTGCCTGCCTCTTTACGGTGGCATAGGAAGTGGCATCCTTCCCTAGTGTTGTACTCATATCTTGATGGATGGCTTTTGGTGTTATTAAAACCTTTTTGTCCATTTCCAAAAGGTCACAGACCCCTGTTTATTTTACTGACTTGTCACGGTGAAACAATTTGCTCACCTGACCCAAGTTTCTGTGGATATACCTCCATGACATCATGTAATATGCACAGCAAAAGATTTCACTATTACACAATTCCTTCTATGTGAGGCTAAGAACTTTTCAGACCCTTGAAGATCCGAGTTAGAATAGGTCTTCAGCAACCCATGCTTGCTGTAAGAGGCGACTATGCTTGTTGTAAGAGGCGACTAACGGGATCGGATGGTCAGGCTTGTTGACTTGGTTGATGCATGTCATCGATCCCAATTGCATGGATCGATGCTCATGAAGTCAGTCACTGGATTGTCTGGTCGGGACTCAATCATTTACAGACTGCCATCATATAGCTGGAATATTGCTGAGTGCTGCGTTTAACAACATACAAACAAACAGAACTTCTCAATCAACCCTCCCACATATGCCCCTTGTTTTCAGGGATCTAGAAAAGTGAAAGTGAATGTTTGCTTTATTTCATCAATCTGACAATGCTGTTCCAGGAGGCCATGACCTGAAGACACTTGACCCCTCCTGGTTCCGCCGCAAGATGGCGATGGTCAGCCAAGAGCCCACACTGTTTGCCTCCTCTATCCGAGAAAACATCGCCTACGGTAAAGTGGCGTCAGACCAGGAGGTAAGTTGCCTGTGACAAGAAGACATGGTCAATTCCTCCATCGCCCATGAATACATATGGCCGCTGTGAAGAAGTGATGCATGGTTAGTTTTCGAAAGGTTTTGTTTTGTTTGTTTCTTGTTTGATGCCGCAATCAGCAATATTCCAGCTATTTAACGGCGGTCTGTAAATAATTAAGTGTGAACCAGACCATTTAGTGCAGGCATTTTTATGATAAACTTATCCATGGCTAGAATAGATTATTATAGTGTGTCTAGCATGAATATACAGGCATGTACTTTTGGTAAGCAATAATACATCAGTCAACTTCACTTCAAAATGAAATATATGTTTGTTTACATTTTTAAAACCAGCTTTCAACTCACATGCAGTGTATTTGACGAATTCTGCTGCATATAATGCAAAATTCTGCACGAGTTCCTTACAAAATGTTATTTTCTGCAAGATAGGTAGATTTCTGCACCCAGTGGGCATTTCTGCAAATATTCTGCAGAATCACGGAATTTGAGAATTCAAGAATATGAGTAGCTAATCTTGAACTTGAGTATTGCTTGTTATGTTTATCACTACATGTGACCCCTGAGATGGCTGACCTTTGCACAATGCAAAAGTCAACCCTGTTCTTGCCATTATGATAGAATGGAGATGAATATACTGTGTTTTTGAAATTTGTAGTAGTCTCACTATATATTTGATACCTTTTATTGCAAGCACTAAAAAGCACCACATTAAAATGAGAGAGTCTGAATGTGGATATGGACACAAAGGTCCTTGTGTCGTTGCTATCCTATTATCCCTATAATACCTGTACACAATGTCAGACACCCTGTAAAGCACCACTGACCTTGTATCACTGTTTGTAAAGTGAAATCACAAATCAACTTCATATCTACCTTGTCTGGGGCGATTATTCTAGCGACTCCAAAACATGACACATCCCAATTATTTATTGCTAGGGGCGGTTGGGTAGCCTAGTGATTAAAGCGTTCGCTTGTCACGCAGAAGACCCGGGTTCGATTCCCACCATGGGTACAGTGTGTGAAGCCCATTTTTGGTGTCCCCTGCCGTGATATTGCTGGACTATTGCTAAAAGCGGCATAAAACCATACTCACTCACTCACTTTATTGCTATGAAATAATATCGACCGAAATCCGTTGACTCACCACTTTGAACCCAACTGGGCCCAAATATCCGTACAGAATGGGTGTGTCGGAAAGCAGCCCTCTGATTGGTTTCTGTAAACTTGTCTGCTAAGCCAACAAAGCTGCTTTCCAACAAATCATATAGTGCATTTCTGACACTCTTGATATTAATTTATCTAGGAGTATTGAAGCAACGAGTTTTACGACACAAGGACCTGTGTTTGGGCAGTGGTGGCCAAGTGTGTTGTGTATGGTACCTAGACGTTCATGCTTGACATCACAGAATCATTGTGTTGATCCCAGGTTGAAGAAGCTGCCAAGCAGGCCAACGCCCACGAGTTCATCATGTCATTTGAAGACGGCTACACCACCAAGGTGGGAGAGAGGGGCGTGAGGCTGTCCGGGGGGCAGAAACAGAGGATAGCCATCGCCAGAGCCCTCATCATGGACCCGGTCATCCTGCTGCTGGACGAGGTGGGTCTGCTCCACATCATCCATCACGCTCTTCCCAGTAACATCCTCATTATTGTCAACTGGCTTCTTCCTCACTGTCGTATAGCCCTGTGAAGATTTAGGGACCGCTATGACTGTCTTATTCTTTCTTAAAGTATGGTTGTCTGAGTGCTACGACAGTCGTAAGTCTATTATAAAGTATGGGAGTCACAATTGTCTCAGACCTACCACAATCGTAAGTCTATTATAAAGTATGGGAGTTACGATTGTCTCAGCACTACGACAGTCGTAAGTCTATTATAAAGTATGGGAGTAATGATCATATTAGCACTACGACAGTCGTAAGTCTATTATAAAGTATGGGAGTTACGATTGTCTCAGCACTACGACAGTCGTAAGTCTATTATAAAGTATGGGAGTTACGATTGTCTCAGCACTACGACAGTCGTAAGTCTATTATAAAGTATGGGAGTAATGATCATATTAGCACTACGACAGTCGTAAGTCTATTATAAAGTATGGGAGTTACGATTGTCTCTGCACAACGACAGTCGTAAGTCTATTATAAAGTATGGGAGTTACGATTGTCTCAGCACTACGACAGTCGTAAGTCTATTATAAAGTATGGGAGTAATGATCATATTAGCACTACGACAGTCGTAAGTCTATTATAAAGTATGGGAGTTACGATTGTCTCAGCACTACGACAGTCGTAAGTCTATTATAAAGCATGGGAGTTGTGATCGTATTAGCAGTACAACTGTTGTAAGGCTGCGTCAAAGCATGGGAGTTACGGTGCTTGTGCTATGTCATAAGTCTAATTAAAGTATGAGAGTCTTAACACTACAACTGTTATAAGTCTTCGTTATAGTATGGGAACTCTGATTGTCTTACCACTAAGATCTCTTTGTGGAATGGCACCCAGGGTCAGAATAGGTCCCCAGTACCTCATACATGTGGTAACAGGACACAGACAGATTGTCATTGGTGTGCCTGGTCTGGACTCATTAGTTACAATCAGTCAAAATTAGTCTTCTGAAAACAATTCCAGCTTTAATCTACTTTCAAATTTTCCGGCTTACGTATGAGCGAACAAATCTGAAGACGGAGGAAGGAAAACTAATGCTACCAATGTTTGATCTGGTTCACACCAATACAACTGAAGTTCTGATAATATCACCACTTGATACAATCTTTGATGAGATTGCTAATATCTTCTCAAACCATCTATGAGGTATTGTGTCCTGGGTATTTATCACGATACAGTGGTCACTAGCAGGTACAGCGATGTGTTACCGTGGTAACAACAATCGTCTTGTACATTCATGTCAGACATGATAGTCGTCAGCCATTGTTTACCCAGCATCCCCTTCACAGGGAGCAGTCATTATGTTACAACAAACCTGTAGTGATCCTGTAAGTAATTTCATCTCCACCCTGATGCGAGTTGTTTCGGCATCTGTACATGTTTGTCGCCTTCCAGGCCACCAGTGCTCTAGATGCAGAGAGTGAACACCTGGTCCAGGAGGCTATAGACCGCGCCATGAAGGGAAGAACAGTCATCGTCATCGCTCACAGACTCTCAACTGTCAGAAATGCCACACAGGTATGTAATTCTTCAGCTAATGATTGAGCTCATCTTGGATTAATAAAGGCAGAATTCCAGGTGATCATTATAGTGGGGAGTGAGAATTGTTCCTCTCTTCCAGTACACCCTTGCCCTACTGTAGACAGCGTTCCTCTATCCCAGTACACCCTTGCCCTACTGTAGACAGCGTTCCTCTATCCCAGTACACCCTTGCCCTACTGTAGACAGCGTTCCTCTATTCCAGTACACCCTTGCCCTTCTGTAGACAGCGTTCCTCTATTCCAGTACACCCTTGCCCTACTGTAGACAGCGTTCCTCTATCCCAGTACACCCTTGCCCTTCTGTAGACAGCGTTCCTCTATTCCAGTACACCCTTGCCCTACTGTAGACAGTGTTCCTCTATTCCAGTCTACCCTTGCCCTACTGTAGACAGCGTTCCTCTATCCCTGTACACCCTTGCCCTTCTGTAGACAGCGTTCCTCTATCCCAGTACACCCTTGCCCTTCTGTAGACAGCGTTCCTCTATTCCAGTACAGCCTTGCCCTACTGTAGACAGTGTTCCTCTATTCGAGTACACCCTTGCCCTACTGTAGACAGCGTTCCTCTGTTCCAGTACACCCTTGCCCTACTGTAGACAGCGTTCCTCTATTCCAGTACACCCTTGCCCTACCATAGACAGCGTTCCTCTGTCCCAGTACACCCTTGCCCTTCTGTAGACAGCGTTCCTCTATCCCTGTATACCCTTGCCCTACTATAGACAGCGTTCCTCTATTCCAGTACACTCTTGCCCTACTATAGACAGCGTTCCTCTATTCCAGTACACTCTTGCCCTTCTGTAGACAGCGTTCCTCTATTCCAGTACACCCTTGCCCTACTGTAGACAGTGTTCCTCTATTCGAGTACACCCTTGCCCTACTGTAGACAGCGTTCCTCTGTTCCAGTACACCCTTGCCCTACTGTAGACAGCGTTCCTCTATTCCAGTACACCCTTGCCCTACCATAGACAGCGTTCCTCTGTCCCAGTACACCCTTGCCCTTCTGTAGACAGCGTTCCTCTATCCCTGTATACCCTTGCCCTACTATAGACAGCGTTCCTCTATTCCAGTACACTCTTGCCCTACTATAGACAGCGTTCCTCTATTCCAGTACACTCTTGCCCTACTATAGACAGCGTTCCTCTATTCCAGTACACTCTTGCCCTACTATAGACAGCGTTCCTCTATTCCAGTACACTCTTGCCCTACTATAGACAGCGTTCCTCTATTCCAGTACACTCTTGCCCTACTATAGACAGTGTTCCTCTATTCCAGTACACTCTTGCCCTACTATAGACAGCGTTCCTCTATTCCAGTACACTCTTGCCCTACTATAGACAGCGTTCCTCTATTCCAGTACACCCTTGCCCTACTATAGACAGCGTTCCTCTTTTCCAGTACACTCTTGTCCTTCTGTAGACAGCATTCCTCTGTTCCTGTACACCCTTGCCCTACTGTAGACAGCGTTCCTCTATCCCAGTACACCCTTGCCCTACTGTAGACAGCGTTGCTCTATTCCAGTACACACTTGCCCTACTGTAGACAGCGTTCCTCTATTCCAGTACACCCTGCCCTTCTGTAGACAGCGTTCCTCTATTCCAGTACACCCTGCCCTACCGTAGACAGCGTTCCTCTATTCCAGTCTACCCTTGCCCTTCTGTAGACAGCGTTCCTTTTCCTGTATACCCTTGACCTACTGTAGACAGCGTTGCTCTTGCCCTACTGTAGACAGCGTTCCTCTGTTCCAGGTGGTTGTGATTGACAAAGGCCACATAGCTGAGCGAGGAACTCATGATGAACTCCTGGAGAAAGATGGCGTCTACAAGCGTCTTGTCCTGCGACAGCTGATGGCGGCCGACATGCCGGGACAAACGGTGGAGGCTGACACACCGAGTGAAGCGAACAACGCTGGTGAAGGAGTCTCAGGGACGGCTGTAACAGTTTAATTGTGAACACATTGTCAATCCTTCACAGGTTTTTGTACAGTACGTTCCTCCATCACTTGGGGTGAAATGATACATCGGTAGGCCGGTGCATTGCGAGTTTTCATGTGACGATAAGATTCACGATACGTTTTTTTTGTATTGGTACAACACGATACACTTGTTGAAATAAATTACTTACTACTTGTTTAATTATCCCTGACGTTTTTGTCAATCAGATATCACAAAATGTGTTATGATTAGCGTTTCAAGTTCATTACTGAAAATAGCTGCGGCAAACATGTGGCTAACAGCTAGATTTTCCTTTTGAACCTGCTCTGAAATATTTATTTTCCAGAAGTTTCCATGCAATTTGATGTAAATATGAGTATCGCAATTCATATCGTATCATGACCGATGTATCATGATAAATATTGTATCGTGACCTTTGTATTGTGATATGTATCGTATCGTGACCTTGTTGTGTCGTTTCACCCCAATCCATTACCCATCAAGGTGTATGGCCACTTGCAGTGTGGGAGTCAAGCAATGAAGTGAGACCTTCTTAAAAACTCATGGAAGTCAAACAGAGCTGGGATGAGTCCAAATTTACTACCCGGGTACCCACCCTCCTATTACCCGACCCTACCCAGGTACCCTCTGTAGGTTTCAAGAGATAGGTACAAAATGTCTGATTGTGAAGAGTTTGAATGTAGTCCTGGACAAAATGTATTTTGTTACACATAAAACGATCTGGTCATGCATGACTGAAGTTTTATCTTTATTCAAACATGTAATAGTCAGAAGGAATGGGTGAATAGTCAGAACGAAATGCCAACATTAGTGATTTGTAGTGTAACCATATAGTTCTAGATCATTTTTGTCATTAAACAATATATCACGTGACTAACCACAGGTCCGGGTAGTCCTGTGGGTACCTGGGTCCTTCTCAGTACCAACCTGACCATAGTTACCCATCCTAGCCCTAAAGTCAAATGTGCCCATTTCTGGTGTCCCCCGCCGTGATATTGCTGGAATATTGCTTAAAGTGGCGTTAAATCATACTCACTCACTCACTAAAGTCAAATGTGCCTTACTCATGACTTTGTGCAAACCCTACCATGGCCTGATATTGAAGCAGATCTCCGAACTCGATCGCTGCAAGGTTGCAGCATGCGTTGCTCAAGAAATATTGCTGTTTGTGGGAATCTGAGGCTATGGCTTGATATGGTAGTTTAAATAAAGCGACCACACTGCGAGTCGGACGTATGGCTTCACGGGTCATGGGGAGCATAGTCCATCAAGTACAGACGCTGCTGTGAAGGCCAGCTTGGACTGTGATATTATCTTACACTGGGCTTACAGATTCTTTTGGCAACATTGATTTCGTAGTGTTGTCATTTTGACAGATAAATGGTATATTTTGAGATTCTATCATATTTGTCAATAGAGATGTTCTGTAACAAGTGTCATATTTGGATAACACTTTCTTTGTTATGTACAGATTCTAGTCTTTTTCGGGTTGAGTCCCATCCGGGATTCGAACCCACACTCCCAGATTGAGGCACCTAGCCGCCAGCACCCAAAGGCAGCGATCTAACCCACTCAGCCACCGAGGCTTCCACTAAATGAAAGTCTGACAACTGGTAGTCAAGATCACGTACTTTGTACCAGAACCTGTACTTTACTAAGCAAGTGTTATCCCAAATATAACATTAGTTACATTAGACCACTTTCTAAATGACATTGTGTATTCAGAGATGTTCTGTATGTATAGATTGAAGTTGTGTAAGACTGGTATTTTGATAGTGTTATCATCGTGACAGATACAACTCAATTTTGAGATTCTATTATATCTGTCAATAGTGATGTGCTGTATATAGATTGAAGTTGTGTTTGAGTGTTATTTTTATACTATCACGCCATTTCGATGCCCTGTGCAATAACTGTGCATCCATTTTGTCCATTGTGGTTCATCAGATTACCATGCACTGTTATCTTGGACAACATCACACTTGTTCCAGATTTCTATTTCTATTGATTTTATGTCTCACAGGTGTAGCCATGCTTTTGTTTGCATGGGAAATCCTGTGTACGGTGAATCCTGGTTCCACAATGTATAGAATTCTTGTGTATATCATGCACATGAGATACGGGTAGAGAGATACTATTACTTGCACAACTGGTTATAGATAGTTGACTGTGAAGAGGACTTCTGTTGAAAATCTGAAGATTTTATTGTATAATGACAGCCACAGTACAGGATCTATTTCTGTAATAGAGATAGTTTTCTTTGAATAATGAACAATGACAACTATAATTTATTTACACGGTTAACAAATTGTATGTATTGTTTTAAATACATGCAGACATTCCCTATCATAATCATCCAGAAAGCAGGAATTCCTGATTAACAGGGTCCAGACTAGGAAGGTTTCACTGTACTCACATCCTTCACTGTGGGAGGGATTGGTCCATAGCCATTATCCAGGTTCCCACTTCACTGTGATTTGGGTAGTTAATCATTGTTGTTTTTTGTGTGTCTATATATTTGTGTGTATGTCTGTGTGTTTGTATGTCTGCGTGTCTGGCTGTGTTTGTGTGTCTGGTTGTGTCTCCCTTTGTGTGTAACCGTGTCTGTGTGTGTGACTGTGTGTGCATTGGGTTTTACATACAAACAGCTTGTAGGGCTTAACATGTGATGGTTGTGTAGATATATGAATCAATTTGTAAATAAGAAAGTGAGTGCTCAAGATTGTTTGTATGTTTGACTTAAATCACTGAAATCCATGACACGACATTTTGTCTCCTCCACCAATGGCATGAACGTGTTTAACTTGTCAGTCAGGTTTACGTGTTCTTTGTCTCACTACAGAACAAATCCATGTTGGTTTTTTCACTTTTTTGTATAGTATTTATTACTATTTGTGTTACTTATTACATTTAGGATGTACTTGCCCCAGACCAGTGAACATAAGCTCGTTTCTGACCTGACCTTTCTTCAGCCACATCACAAGAGTTGTTTTAGAGCTGTTACATTTTAACAGTAATAGTTAGTTTGAGATAAAAAACTAATTGGTTATTAACAATCTGCAGATATTTACAAAACGTAAGTGACCTACCAAATATATGATTTTCGTAAATATACAATTATGGTATTGCTCAGAGTATTTTATTTTTAAATGACAAGTCGAACAGTAACATTATGTAGCAATTCAATTTGAAAGGATTTTTTTTTAAACATGTATTTTTAAAATAATTTAACAAACTATGTTTTGGGTCAGCGGGTAAACCATATAATTACTCTTTTAGTAATACTGGACCTTTTTCTGTGTTTTTTATTATCAGGTGTAGGACCAGTATTGAACACATGCATGGCCAAACACATTGGCATGATTGATCATATTTTCTCCAATATTTTACATTTTTATTATTAAGCAACTTAAAAGTTGTTGTTTTTTCATGTGATTACAAAGATTTGGGCATTATTCCAGTCAGAGAAAAGGCTGTTCCTGTAGCCCATCATTTAAAAATTACTTCTGGGTGTTGTTTTTGTCCAGTTCTTGAAGTAGAATAGCAACTTACTAGCACTGCTGGGGTTTGCACAGTGCACGAAACCGATGTTAGTTTTGTGGTTGTGTAAGATCAGACATCAGTCCATTGCTTACCTAAATTATAAAATTAAAATTCCAAAAAGAATTATGGACCACCCAGTTCTTTTAGATTACTTTAATTAATCCATTAGGCCATGACAGATTAACTATAGTAATACGAAAGAATCGAGTGGTCCTTAATTTGTTTTAGTAGTATAGATCTGGTATTTATACAGCATTATGCAAGTTTGGAAGTACTCCCATGATTGAATGTAGCAGTGTTTGGCATACCAGAAGTCTAGAGTATGCAAGTTTGGGAATGAACCGGTTTTGTGCCTTGTGAAATACCATATTTGACGTAATAAGCGCCCTGCTCTAATAAGCGCCCGCGGCGATTTTTGCTAATATATTGGCTAATGAACAATCTCAATTAGCAACCCTTTCAATTGATCTTATTTATTTGTGTATAATACTCACTCGTGTGTTATATGCACCTTTAATTATGGGCAATTAAATTCTGGCAAATATATCTGTTGTGTATAATACGCACGACTTTTCTTTCGTATCATTTCCGGCTGTCAGCATAAACCACGAAATTTATGATCTTTCAACTCTGTTTTTTTTTTCTCACCAAAATTATATCCTATTAAGAGCCCCCTATTTCTAATTTTGAGCGCACCCTAGGTGCTTATTACGTCGAATATGGTAGTCTAGTCCTGACTGTTATATTGCCCTGCTTGGGTATATTTCTGTGCTCCAATATTGGTACATGAGTGTATCCAGAAATGTCCCAAATTACATATCTGTCATACCTGTTCCAACAATGACTGCAACAGCACTGTTAGCATGTAGGTTTACACTTTTTTTAAGGGGCCTCAACCCGATTTGTAAAGAGAAAACAGAAAGTTTTATACCTGATTTTTTCATTTATTCTTGTAATCATCAAAACGGCAGAGAAATAACCTTAGGGAGCAACCAGTTTGATTTGATGGTGGAGACAGAGGTGCTTGCAGGAGGATTTTATCTAAGACATCAATGAAGCCCCTGTTTTACTGGGGGAAAATTACATACCTGTTATGGCTCATATTGTAGGAAATGTGGCATGTATTTAAATATCGAGAAGTCAAATTTGAAATAACAGCAGCTCTTATTTTGTGTTGGAAAAAAATAATTGAGTTCCTAAATATGAAAAACAGAAATGCTGATCATGCTGATCTCAAACCAAAATTTGAGATGTCCCTCGAAAATCAAATGACTGCTCCCTTAATCCTATTCTGTTGTCCATATGACAGCCATGATACTTTATGCAAACCAATGTTGTTTTTTGTCATTGTGTGTTTTATAAGTGAGTTTTGTGACACATATTAGCCTGCCATATTCAAACATATTACCAGAATACCCGTGGGATCCATACAGTTTCTAAGAGTCCATGATCTGTAAAGGTATTCCACTTAATTTGGACTAGCGTTTAATTCAAACATTTGAATTCTTCATTGGAATATAAACATGATTGAACTAGAAAGGAATGAAATCTAAGTCATTGTAATTAAAATTTGGTTTTCAAAACATGTGGAGGAATGCTTTTGTGGCAATTTAATTAGAATCACTATATTCAATATGACACTGAGATAGTTACAATGACTTTTCAGGTTTTTAGACCTGACATTTCATGTCAACTTCAAGATACAGAATATGCATTCAGGGAAGAAATAAATGTGTTAAATATTGTTTTCTTGCATTGTTTGTTTTCTTGCATCGTACCTACCTGTGCTCCCCAAACTGTTTTTGTTGTTGGTATTGAAGTACGTGGTCAAGTGGACAGTGCCTCTGCCATGCAGGTTGGTGGTTCGATCTCTGACCGCATCATTCCAAAAGACGTTAAAACATGGTACTTTTTGTTACCCTGCCTGGTGCACGGCATTCAGGGGTTAAAACAAGGACTGGCCAGCTCAGAGTAAGTTAAACTGCTGCATGGTTTCTCAGGGGGCTAGCACTATAAAACCAGCACTCACACTGCTATATAAGTGCAATAATCTTGAAAGTGATGTTACACACTATTTCACCTCACCCGTTAGCTTTAGACATTTCAGGCGCAAAGTTGACAGAGTATATACAATCGAGTTTCTTAATAAGTTGTGTCTGGAACAAACCATGGCTCAAAGGCAATTTCAACAAATCTTGAAATGCAAATCCTTCTCCAGACAAGGGAGATAACTTGGGGAAAAGCACATCCATTCTGGCTTCGGCAAATATGCCCCAGTCAACTAAGTGCCACAACTGTTTGTGTAGAGTTATGTCCCCTCAGCTGACAGGATCCTGTGTGTCCTTGAAACCCGATATGGATACCTGCTCATGCTGTCAACCACTGGTTTGTCTTACACAGTACGGATTATTTACAGGCTGCCAACATATATGCCACACAAAACATGTTAAAGAACACCCGCTATTGGAAGGCTGTGTGTTGCAATACCCTCCAGCCTTGATAGATTAACTGCAGTCATGTAAAAAAATCAGGTGTTCTTTACATTCTATTGAGTAGTGTAGTTTGAATAAATCACATACAACATTCATTCATTGTTGCGAATTACAACAACCACTTAAGATACATGATTATTTATTGAGAATTAGAGTCAATTAATATGTAAAAGTACAATAGTCAATATAAAGTATACAAAATTTCTAATATTGGTGGAAATATATATATATATAATCACTAATAAAAATATTTTGATTTGTAAAATTGTTCAACAACACTGCTGATGTGTTTCGCCCCAGGAGTAGCAGCCGGACAACATCTATAGACTGGTGGCGTGCCGTTCATCAACACTGCTGACGTGTTTCGTCCCAGGAGTAGCAGCCGGACAACATCTACAGACTGGTGGCGTGCCGTTCATCAACACTGCTGACGTGTTTCGTCCCAGGAGTAGCAGCCGGACAACATCTATAGACTGGTGGCGTGCAGTTCATCAACACTGCTGACGTGTTTCGTCCCAGGAATAGCAGCCGGACAACATCTACAGACTGGTGGCGTTCCGTTCATCAACACTGCTGACGTGTTTCATCCCAGGAGTGGCAGCCTGACAACATCTACAGACTGGTGGCGTGCAGTTCATCAACACATTTCATTACCAATTGAATCAACAATCAAATGTCATGGATAAAAACATATAATCAAAGGCAAAAGTAACTGATCATATTCTAACACTACTAAAAAAGATAAGGACCATCCGATTCTTTCACATTACTATAGTTAATATTTCATGCCATGACATATAGTAATATCTAAGAAATTTGTGGTCCTTAGGATTTTTCTAGATGCACATAATCTCATCATTGAAAATCTTAAGTGTACTAGTAGTTACCATGGTTACTTTGGTTCAAGATAGGCCTTCAAACACTTTAAAAAAATTAAATTGAAATTTCTAAATTCAAATCCTAATTATTTTTGTGTTAACACAAATTAGGTTGAAGTGTTTGGTTTATTTCATCATTAATGAATTGCATGTGTTTCTGTGGCATTTTATAATCGAACCAACCAATTCCTTTTGAGTTTGTTTCCATAACCGAAAATGCTTTACTTGGTGCTTTTACTGTCTCTCATAAGTATTATTGATTTTGAGGTTTTATTAAAATCATAGGATCAAATTTACTTTTGCCTTTTGAGTAAACTACAACAAAATCAAAACATGATCAAATTTTATGTTATCAACAGGGATGGCATGTCAGACTTAACACAGTAACTACTGCTGTGTGTTGTAATAAATGTAGTGTGATGCTCCATATCGTAGTGTGATCATTCCATATTGTAGTGTGATTGCTCCATTTTGGAGTGTGATGCTCCATTTTGGAGTGTAATGCTCATTTTGGAGTGTGATCCTCCATTTTGGAGTGTAATGCTCATTTTGGAGTGTGATGCTCCATTTTGGAGTGTGATGCTCCATTTTGGAGTGAGATGCTCCATATTGCAGTGTGATGGCTCCATACTGTAGTGTAATGCTCCATACTGTTGTGTAATGCTCCATACTGTAGTGTGATGCTCCATACTGTAGTGTGATGCTCCATACTGTAGTGTGATGCTCCATACTGTAGTGTCATGGCTCCATATTGTAGTGTGATGGCTCCATACTGTAGTGTGATGGCTCCATATTGTAGTGTGATGCTCCATACTGTAGTGTGATGGCTCCATACTGTAGTGTAATGCTCCATACTGTAGTGTGATGCTCCATACTGTAGTGTGATGCTCCATACTGTAGTGTAATGCTCCATACTGTAGTGTGATGCTCCATACTGTAGTGTGATGGCTCCATATTGGAGTGTGATGCTCCGTATTGTAGTGTGATGCTCCGTTTTGTAGTGTAATGCTCCATATTGTAGTGTGATGGCTCCATATTGTTGTGTGATGCTCCATATTGTAGTGTAATGCTCCATATTGTAGTGTGATGGCTCCATATTGTAGTGTGATGGCTCCATATTGTAGTGTAATGCTCCATATTGTAGTGTGATGCTTCGTATTGTAGTGTGATGCTCAATATTGTTGTGTGATGGCTCCATATTGGAGTGTGATGCTCCGTTTTGTAGTGTGATAGCTCCATATTGTTATGTGATAGTTCTACGTTACAAGCCAACTATAAGCTTTGATTACATAAACAACTACCATCCCTGTGTCCAAATAATATTTGTTTCATCAAAACTATTGTCATTCATTCATTCAAAAACATTAGAAAAGCCTGTCTACAAGTACAAAAACAAGTAAGTGAGTTGGGTTTAACATATGTTGAACAGTAGTTCATTCAAATCACGGCATGTTACCTTAACATCTGAATCCTGAAGTGACAAGTCATTGAAGTCATCCCTTTGCTAAAACCAACAGCATGGGTATGGCGCTGACTAATGAAGCAACATACCGCAGCACACTGAACTGCAGCGCTTAAACTACTCGGCCACATGTGCCCCACGGGGACAAAAGAGGTGAAACATAGAACAGTAAAGATTTCGCCCAAAGAATGGAATCTGGCTAAAAATGGTCTTAATGCACTCATTCATCCAAACATCCTCACATGAAAGCATCTTATATCAGACATGAACATTCTAAAACCACAGTTTAGTCACTTTACAAGAACATCCATTCCTAAATATTCAACTAGGTATCAGAATCAATATTTTTTGCATTGTTATCATTTTACAGACAATCAGAGCAGTAGTATAATAACATGACATGGGTGAGTGAGTGAGTATGGTTTTACACCAGAAACGTAACATGACATGGAATGTTGACATAATAAATTAGGTGATTCGTCCACTTTATAGACATGTAATGTTGTTAGATCACCACACTTGAGGCAGTACTTTGTTTTTATTTAGAGTATTTTTTATAACCATTTTGCCATTTTCTTTACATCATGCACTGTAAAGCAAGATGTCAACAAAGAGACAAAACAGTTCAGTATCAAAGGTTTCATTTCTTGAATATAATTTCATTTTTATTATCTCCCAATGTGGGATTTTTTTATGTCCCATATACCCTACTAAAAAAGGTCAAGGGTCACCCTATTCTTTCATATTACTATAGTTAATCTGTCATGCCACGACAGGTTAACAATAGTAATATGAAAGAAATGGGCGTTCTTTAACTTCTTTTGAGTAGTATATATCATATTACAATTGGTCTTCACTTCAACATAAACTTCATTGGCTAAGAAAATATATTGTTGATGAATAAAACAGTTCAAAGAATTGTTCAGTATTTCTACAAATGTTCACAATGGGAAAGTGTTAATATCTTTCATTCATGAAGAATGGCATGATATTAGTATAGAAAGATTGCACAGTCACCCTAAATATGATAATATGGTCACAATACCAGTCAAATATTGTTGTCATCTAATATACCGTATACTTGAATATGAGGAAGAGACAAATACTAGTTACATTGTAAAACTCAATCAACAACAGCCATACAGAAAGAGAGGAGTCTATACAGTTTTGTATCTGTTCAGTGAGTGAGTGAGTTGGGTTTAACGCCGCTTTTAACAGTATTACAGTTATATCGCGGCGTGTCACCTTAATGTGGCAGAAAAGCCTGAAGGGATGCAGGTCTCAGACGTTTACCACTTCGGTGAAACCCACGAGCACGGGTATGGTGCTGATAAACCTAGAAACATAATCGGGGCGAACCGGGATTCAAACCCACAATCATAGGTTTCTGGCATGCACAAGGGATGCAACTCTGCACAGCGAATTGCAGCGCTTAGACGACTGGGCCACCCTTGCCACCCACATTTATTTTTATTTCGACCGACCATGTGGGTAAAAGCTGGAATAAATCTGTAAAACATAAAATTTTAAAAGTGTGGCCTAAACAGCAATGAACTATTCCAAGGATGATAACAAACTGTCAGCTAAAATCAAATTATCAAAAGTCATTTTAGTTTTTTTTCTAGTTTCTATTTTTCAGTCGGTCGGAATTGTAAACCTAAAATAATAAATGAAAGAAAAGGGCTTCATGAGAACAAAGAGGACACATCACAAGTGGTCAGTGAAATAGCTAAATGTTATGTTTGTTGTTTAAAGCCACATTCAGCAACATTCCAGCCATGACCGCCTGTAAATAATCAAGTCATGAGCATCTATCTAAATTGGCATATGATGATATGCATCAACAAAGTCAGCGAGTCTTCTGGTATTTTCTAGTTGTCTAGCATCTGTTGAACACTGACAATTATATTATTTC